AAGATGGATTGCCAACCTGGGGTTGCACTTGCGTTCCGCCGTCACAACGGCGTTTCCAGCAATCAAACAGCCTGGGCACAGCGGTATCTGGTGTGATGTCCTGTCGCCGAGTTGCCGGCTGCCGTGAGTACGGATATGTCATGATAGACCAGATGGACTTTTTACTGCCTTTCGGGAAGTTGAGTAGTCGTGTGTTTCTCCTGCGCTGCTTACTGCATTCTCACCGCATGGGCGTCTCCTGATATGCATATCACAACGCATATGATAGCTTGTAATGCCGACCGTTGCTCCATTTCGACGCTTCTCTTAGTCACCACCATCGGGTCTGGTTGAAGGTGAGTGTGAGACGTGCTTCAGCTTTGCCGAAGGGGTCTCAGTAGCTCTTCGTAAAAGAACATTCCGTCTATTGGTAGCAACAGCATCATGATGACGTTGTGAGCTTCGTCGCGTTCGCGAAGAGTTGCCCGGGTTTCTACTTGTTAACACTTAACTCTTCACCTTTCCTTCCAAGGGCCTTCAGCTCCGCGTTTGCAGAACATTGAAAGACCCCTTCGTCCTTTTTGTGTCCCCGGAAATAAGCAGCTTGTGTAGTAGTTTCCATGTCCAGATTATCAGGTTTGCTCTTCACAATGGATGAAATCATTGAGCTTCAAAAGTCAACCCCACCTGTGATTTCCGAAAAGTCGCCAGCGGCCGACACGACTTGGACTTGCCAGTCTCAGGCAGCCACTTTGCCCCAACACGTTATTTTGGTGAAATTTCCTAGTCAAAGGGTACTTCGGCGCGAATGCTGCCCCGAAGAAGCCCTGCTCGGTTGCTGCCCTCTGTTACCTCAGACACGTCAACGCATTTGCGGCTGGGCATCTCGTACTGTTCGCTTTCCGAACCATTCGATGACCCAGATGACCAATTTCTTAGGCCTTCAGTCTTTCCACTATGACAGAATCTCGCAGCTTTGGAGTAAGCCTTGCAGGACCAAACTGGCCCTTCCGCTACCTGTGCCTCTTCCTTCTCCCAAGGCCGCCTATCAATCCTAGGCGTCGGCAGTTAGTCACAACAACGGGTAGATGCAATCATCGGAAGCAGTACCTAAATGCGTGCAAGCTCCGGTCTGGCAATGCTTCTCTCAAGCTGAAGTCTACTGCCTCCTGGCATGACCTAGCTTGATCATGACGCCATCACCAGCTTCCCTGCTGATACGAAGGTATTATGTGCTCCAAGGTATACGGCATTTGGTAAATCTCGGTCATCCGCCACCAAGGTGACTAGCTATCAGCCGCTGAAATTCAATTGAATCGCCCTGAGGCTTGATCTTCTGCGCCAAGTTCCTGAGAAGGCACCACAGCTGCCCACTAGACGTTCAGCGCAGCAGCCACCAAAGCCTCGCCCGAAGGTTAGCAGGACGGTCACCAATTGCAATCATCACACAATACGAACAGGTGCCTGGGAACCTAGATTGCAGGCCTATCGTGCGCCAATGCCCAATGGCCCTACACACATTTCCAGACAATCGCAGTAAGTAGCCCATGCTTAGCACGAGCACCTTGGCTTATTCTCTCTTGTACTGTATCTCTGCATCTATCTTTGCCCGAGTTGGGAGGCTTGCAGAGCAGCGGGCACTTGTCACTGGCACATTGTACAACATCGGTGGCAGAAGAGCTGCTTAAAAGTGCTATTGATTCCATAAGCCAACCATCACTCCGTATTTCAGCCTGGTCGGTCGTTGGGTGGTGGTCCCAAGTATCTATCTCATCACCGGCTTCTCACAGCTGTCACGGCCGCTTGTACGATCTCAGCCACCGCAATTCTCTATTATTGGAACACCTAGGAGTTGGCAATATCTTTTCAGGTTTTCTATATCCGCAACTGGAAATAAGTCAATAAACCTACGACGTCGCCTCTGAAGCACGTAGGGTCCTCGGCTTGTGCCTTGATGTGACCACAATAATCTGCCTTGTCCAAACACGAGGACACCATTTAAGGCATGTCGTTCCCGAACCAAAACTCGACGATAGTCTTATCCAACGCTGGCTGCTAAGTGGTCTGGTCTGCGGGAGACTTATCATTTTACCTCCCAATGCTCCTGATCGTCGTTACTCTAGCCACTCTCGCAAGAATTCGGTCGCGCTACCTGATCGGTCCCGAGCTCCTCTGCTGCCCGAATCAGCATCCACCAGGCTTTTATGGTTACACATGACCTGACCAAAGAGATTCATCCTTTTCCAATATTTCGAACTGCAAAGGAAAGATGGTAGTCACCATCCGGGCCAGCCCTACGCTCTGCAGGCGAGTCCAGGAGGGTGGGGTCCTAGAACTCGTCTCTGCGATATATGCTATCTGCCCAGTGACGTGGAGGTGCTGACAACCTGAAGGGCAGTAGCATTCGCAAGGGGATCCTTTCTGAGAGTACCAGCTGATAAGATTAACGCCTACAAGGAGCCAGGGTTTGTCTACATCCCAGAGGCGAGATTTTATTGTAAGTTGTGGTTACAGACCACGAGAACATTATAACGGCATCGTTTCCTACTGCTCTCCTTTAGTTGGAAATACTTTTTGATAATTACTATATGTTCGTCTGGTGGCGCTGCTTGGCCCTGATTCTTAGAGGATGTCAATGGCTTGGTCTCGTTCATAGTATCGGAGAGTTCTCTGTCGATCTGCCCTCTTGAGGCCATCGCTGCAGCCATTGTTTGCAGTCAGTCAAAGTATTCCATATTGTCTATGCATCATCTCCTAGACTTACCAAAAGCCGTGCTTCGATACTCTTTGTAAGGTGGTCCTAAGGCGCGCCTTTCTTGTACTCAGTCATCTCCTTTCGCTGTCTCGTCTCGCCTCCCTCACCTATTCAAACCTTGATTTGCCCATCTTCGAGTAGTTCGAAGGGATCGGCATGATGCGGCCGCGGTCTTACCCCTCACACCCCCGACGTGGTCGCTAAGAGCTCACCAACTGTGCGACGTTGGGCTTTTACTCTCATGCCTGCTTTCGGTCCGGCAGTTTTGGCAAAGGAGGTCAGCCTGCAGATCTTCAAAGTCCGAAGTCTCGTGATCTTTGACAAGACCGCACCAGCCAGCCTCAGGAAGTGGCGGGTTCCTGATCCGTGGCAGGTACGGTATTCGAATGAAGGAGGCCGTATCAATGTCGTGATGCTGACTGCACATGGGCGTGTGGAGTGTTGAAGTAGGTGTACATCGACCTCTTGCTTAGCACCCACGCCTGAGCTGTTGCAGGCTTATTCCGCGTAAGCCAATAACCCTTTATGAGGAAATATCTGTCAACTGAATAGGTGCTGTGCTCCTACCCGTACTTGCAGCGTGCACACCACCGCGGAGCCACCCGCTGCTGACACCCCTGAATCAAAGAGCTTGCTTACCTGTCATGTGAGTTTGGGGTGCTGCTGGCTGACTTGCTGCTTCCGTAGGGATGGATCCTTGGTTCTAGACCCCTTCTATATGGAACATTACCTTGTTTGGCAGGCCCCTATTTCTATCATCGCCTCACCACATCGCCTCAGCCCTATGTTCTTCAGTCCACCCCCTCAAGCATCTTGGGAAATCTCGACAATGGTCAGACTGCGGCGCTGTTCTCCTATCTGACATGCGTTATATATACTACACACTTCACCTGCCACGACAGGGCTCTCATCGCCTCAAGCGCCAATTAGCAGAAGCAAAAGTCATATTTTAAGCATCAGAAAAGCACTTTCACATCTTGCTTGCCGATGACTTGGGGCTCAACTCGGCTCCACACTCGTCAAAACTCTGCTTCTTCATGGGTGAGTGGCTTAGGGCTTAGGAGCCGTTGCCGCAAAGTCTATCTCTCGGACGTGGCCGATCTCCCGAGATCCAACCTGCGGGAGCCACGAAAGGGGGGTGTGCCGTCAAATTCACGTCAGATGATAGCTAGAGCTTAGAGGTTTCGTTCCCGATTGGGCCCACGAAGATGGCACACCCGGTTCCCGTCTTCACCAAGCGCGTACTCCACCTTCACTGGCCAGAACTCTCCATGGTGCGACACAAAGCCTTCATGAGGGGTGAGAGGGTTCCTGTAAGCAACGATCTCACGGTGGAAAGCTGCGAGCTATGCTAGAGGCTTTGCGACATCGCCTGCGAGGAGCGTGCGTCTCACAGCCCCACCAACAGTTTTCGACTCAGGCTGCGATATCGATGCCATCGCGGTGTTTTCAAGCTTTTCGGGCTGGCAAGGAGAGAAAAGGGGGGGCTCGGTCCCGAGAGCAGAATGCCTCCCGATGCTAAAGCAAGCCCTCCCTAATGCTGACTCTAGCTTGATAACGACTCATGCTATTCAGATTGATTGAATGATCGTTAGGTCTGTACAACTAGAGATCCAGGATGTTGTCGACTTGGCTACCAATGTTTATGGTGATGGCTAGGCAGAGTAGGCCATGAAGGATGTAGTCTACTAACCCCCCTTCACCAGATATGCCTTGCGGCATTTTAACTGGCTCTCTCCGGAGCCTTCTTGTCAGATGGGCAGAAATCCGTTCAACGGAGTACGGCTCTTTTCTAGAGTCTTTGGATTTCTATTCAAAGGGTGTTCCAACAGCATATTGTACTGCAAACCCACCAACAATCCTCTTAGTGTTACCTGGAATGCTATCGCAGTTCGAAATTGGCCGACGATATCTCAAAAAATGATGTAAGATTGAGCAGAGAGCCTGTCCAAGATGGATGACGAACACAGCGGATCCCACGCCGAGCCAACGGGTCAGCACTACGAATACATTTAGCCCGCAGTTGTCAGCAACTTGAAACTCCACTGTTCTCACTATCCGACGTGAACAACTCCTCTTGCTACCTTTCATTTGCTACTAGCCCAGCTGCTTGTGGAGGAGTATATTCAGGGGCGATGTCTACGGAAGCGAAAATCACGACGAAATATACATTGGCGAGCAGAGCCTTGTGATCTATAAATTCTTCATTCGCATAGTTCGTCAAAATACGACGGCAGTACCTGGAAAAAAAGGTAAATAGCCTATATTACACAGCGTTCAACTGTTTATGTCTCATGTCCCAAGCAAGCAACCCCAGGGGTAGTTGAATATCTCTAAACAGCATTGCCACCGGTGAGTTTGATGATTTGACCTGTGCAGTTACACCGTCAGTCTGATGGATCTTGTTGGAGAAGGAGGAAAAGAGAGACGTACCGTTGATCCACTCGCCCTCTTCACTGCAGAGCGTGAAGACGGCCTTTCCGATATCTGCGGGTGTGCCGACGCGCTTCAGGGGGCACATCTTGGCGAGGCCGGCATCGATGATCTCCATGGGCATTCCCTTATAGCCGCCGGGCACGTAGTGCCAGCTGTTCTCGTCGTACATGTCCGTCTTGACGCCACCCGGAGCGATAGCGTTGACGGTGATGCCCTTCTCGCCACAATCGACGGCGAAAGCGCGAGTGAAACCCTCAACGGCAGCCTTGGAGCCAGCATACAAAGCATGGTTGGGAATACCGCCGATGGACGCGGCGATGGAAGAGGTAAGGATGATCCGACCGCCTCGGCTGCAGTGCTTCAGGCCCTGTTGTGCGACGAAGAACTGGCCCCTGCAGTTGAGGTTGAAGACCTTGTCGAACAGCTCAGGAGTAACCTCGACTTCTGGGCACCATACCTCCATGCCGCTGTTGGAGACGACAATGTCAAGGTGGCCGAAGTGCTCGACAGCCTTCTCGAAGAGCTCCGAGACGGCGGCCGGGTTGCTGATGTCCGCCTGCAGGGCGATGCTCTTAGAGCCGAGCTTGGCCAGCTCGGCAACGACCTCTTCGGCGGCCTTGCTGCTGCTACCGTAGTTGACTACGACGTTGGCGCCTCGCCGTCCCAGCTCAATAGCAATGCCCCGGCCGATGCCACGACCAGATCCGGTGATGAGTGCGACCTTGCCGGCTAGTGGCCGGGCGGGGTCGTATGGTGACACGGGCCCGTCAACAAGGGGGGAGGTAGTGGCCTCGACATCATTCGATGGTGCAACGTCAAGTGTAGCTGAGGGGGCCATACTGAGAAGTCTGATGTCGAAGCAATACTGTATAAACCTAATTCACTTGTAGAAAGTTTAAGCAATGAATTGAAGGTCTCAAGAGCTAGTTGTCTACTGCTTCTTCAAATACGATCAAGGTATGGACGTCCCCAAGCACATATGGTTTATATACCGGACATATTCCATACTGTCCGAGGGATAGTATTGGTCTTAGTTGGGGAAAATGTCCGGGACGCGGACAGTAGCAGCAAGGATGGCTACGGACTGTATCAGAGGAATTCCACCAGCTTCTTGGCTAGACCTCAGTCTATAGAGTGAATAGCCCCTTCGCTTCCTCGCTCCTTTCGGAGGGCCGCCAACACTATGTTTGGCAGGCCCGAAAAGCAAAGAGCGAAGACGCGAAAATATGTCCAAATTTACAAAATTATCTTGGAGGCTTGACAAGATATGCAGAAGGCAATCTGGCAGGCGAGATGCTGTGCATCCATTCTGGACGAGTACGGCATCCATTTAGGCAGGCCAGGCTGGCTTCCAACTGGAGGCCACTGCCACGGCGAGGACTGTACACTGATCGTCGCCTGTATCAAGCGGCAGCTCGTGAAGCCGACGAGTGAGTGTCTTAGACAGTCCCAATGCCCAGGCTCTGGGCGCTGTCAGGAGGCGTCTGGAGCATGTGAGCCTGCAGTGAAAGGCCGCCACGGCGGGCGCTGTGTGGCCGCCCTGCCACAGCCCAGTGCAGCTTTTGGCGAACACGCAGGCTCCCTTCTCAGGTCGAGAAAGCCTGCCAGCATCATGGACACGATGGAAAGGGGTGACTGGTCAGGGTGTTTAAACCCCACCGGACCTCCGACCGCTGTTGGGAAGAATGCAGAAGGTTGGCCAGGGAAAGCCACAGCACTCTCTATTCGCCATTCGTTCTGGCTTAGCCGGGTAGAACGGTTGAGATTGTAAGATCGTGGCTTGATCGATCGATAAGGAATCTACAGTGCATTTAGGAACAGCGAATTGTTGAGGCAGAGGCTTGTTTTCAATCAAGTCTTAAGTGAAACGAAGTTGCGATCTTGGACCACATGGACAGATTTGAGCTGAGTTTGGGATGTTGAGTGAATTGTTAGTGCAAGCTCGTGGAGGGGTACTTCCACTTTGGCTCTCCAGAAGATCACTCATACAATCCCGACCAGCATGCTTCTACTCTACCTGAGTGGTACAGCAGCTACAATGCGCGTGCAACACCCAACGGGAATCTTCGTGGACTGCCGAGTGATGAGTTAAATCTCTGTAATTGAAGTAGGTCCCGTTGCTCAATCAGCCAAGATATCGCTATGACCACTCATCGTGGAGGATAACCGACACTTGTGCCGATCACCCCAACTAATGCCCTGCCTCGAAACTATTTTGTAGGTATTGGATATTAGCTTTGACTGAAGTCTCCTGAGGCTCTCTTTTGGGCTTAATAGTGTTGAGATACCAAACATTATTTAGCCTGTTGTCTCCAGCAGCCGAACGGCATGATGACCAAGCCCTGAGTAAAACGTGCAGGGCAGCCCTCACGGTACCATGGGTCAATATTGCTAAAGTGCACGATATCCGTATCATGTAGGTGCTTCGTCAATGTACGTGCCGGTCCCGACCTTCCGGATGAGCCTGCACAACTGAGGTGCACGACATGACCGGCAAGAGGTACATTCCGAACAGTAGGTTTGTGCACACTCAAGTATGATGCCCCGGAGAAGGCTGGAAGAACCCTTTGGCGCATCATGCGTAACTGCGAATTTGATTTCTCACTCCCGCCGAAATGTCCTGGAATCATTTATCTTGTGGACACTCTATTGACCACTAGAAGAGCCTTTGTTGAAAATGTGTATCTGTGTTGACAAAGGTCTCCAGAACATAGCGAATCCTTCCTATGCTGATTGAACGGATCTCAGATCTCGGAGCCGGAGGGCCTCGGGCGACACAATGCGAGCAGTACAATAATCCCTGTCATTCTCGCCTAGATAATGGCATCGCATCAAAGATAAAGTATCGCGTGAGCTTAATGAATTCTATCTAAATTTACGATATTCTCCGATGATTCATCCTAGCCGTTTCATTGCATGCACTTCTCGAGCAGGTGTTGCCGACGAGCCAGTTTCCATTCATGAAAAGAAACGACGAGCAATTCATCGAACGCATGCCGCTTCTTGCCGAAGTCGTCGGTTGTATCCAGATCAGGCGCTGAACGACCCGTGCCAAAGTAGGTGGCGTCAAGAGCATGTATGCGAGATGCTTACAGAGGTTTACCAATGGCCTCATTTAATTTGTTCCCAACTCAGGCACATGCCACTATACGACCAAGTTCTGGGAACATGCCAAGCATCAACAAGTCCCTGTTTCGGCCGAGCTTTTGAGATAGATTATATTGTTGACAGCGGCATGGGTATATCAGTCCTCTGCTACCGGCACGCTCTTCAGGCGCTTTAGAGTATTAACACAGGTCCTATTGAGAGCAATGCTCAATAGCGCAGAGCATATTAGAAAATATACTAGATCGCAATAACACGCGGGCCACGGCTGGTCTAACCCCTGTTCCCTGGAGACGACCTAATTGCCCGGTACAGACGACGGCTCAATTGCTGCTGCAGGAACCAACAAGGTTCGGGACAATGGAGCGTCTGCGAACCCTGGACACGTTGAGCGGAACGGCAAATGTACTCTACCAAGTCTACTTACCTTGCCGGGGTTGGGAGGAAGAGGGGAAGGCTGGCTATTTTCTTCTTCCAGCAGGACGAAGACGTCATCGAAGTAGAAAAGCTGCCGGTGTGGCGACAGGGACAGAAGCCTCACCGCAGCAAACTCACGATCCGGGAATTGTGGTTTCTCGCCATCGCTCAACTCTCGCAATACCGCACTCAGTGAACGATTAACAGCTGATCGGACAGCCTCTTTCTTCAACTGATCAACACCACCACCTTTCCAGCCCAGTCCAAGCTTGGCCCGAGCGTTCTAACCTTGCTTCAGGGATCTTTGGGGCGATCCTGACACTAAAATAGCTTGGGGTTCTCCACTTGCTTGATTGAGGAAAAGGAGGAGTGATTCGCGCTCGCTGATTCGCCGAAGGCGTTTGCAAGGTCGGCGGGGGTCCGGGCAACCCCCGAAACTCTCTTATCCCCAATGCAACCTTCGTTCGATACACACCTCTGTTAGCTCTTTCATGGTGGTCTGGCAGGGAAAATGAAAAGACATGGATTCTGAGGGATGGCTGCGGGGAGAATGACCGCTGCTGCACCCCCACGGAAAGGCGCATGCCGTCTAGAGCACTTTTCCGCTCCCTCCGACCCAGGGCGTACACACGGCTCGCATACTTCGCATAGCAAATCGTCGTCTACATGCCCAACTCAGATGGGGGAGCATAGGACTTTTCGGGCTTATGCCGAGCCAAGAAACACGGCTAAAGCCTACCTCACGCAGCGCATCCTTCTGGCGGGCGGGCATCGCGTGTCTCGGCCGCGCAGTCAGGGATCATCCCAACCCGGAGCATGACACTTCACCACTCTCATGAATCATCAAGCCGTCCAGAGGCGCCATAATGGGCTGAGAAACCAGCCCCTGGCTGACAGGGCGCAAGAAGAGGCGTGTACGACGTGCGGTGTGGTGTCCCCCGTTCGATGAGACAAGGAGGGGGCTTGTCTCCGAAGACGGGCAGGCTGATGAAGCTTCTCTGGACCCTGTCGCAGACGATGGCGTCAGTCAGCCCTAACGGTGCCGAACCTTACATGGCCATGGGCTGATTCCTGGGCCTCTGTGGATGAGAAAACGCGCAAGCCAGGGCAAGGCCCGAAGACGGGTAAGCTGACTGTTCATCGAGTAGCCGGCAGGATCGTAAGCGCGCGTCCGCCGGTGAGTGTAGATTGACCGAACACCGAAGAAAAATGATCAATCATTTCACGATGCCCACAGTAGATCCTGAAAAGTGATAGAGAATCGTAGATGAATATTTTGGTCAAGTGGCGCCATGGCCGTGACTGTTATGGCTAAGGCTTTGCTTATGTACAGAAGTTGGGAAAGGATAGGAAAGAGAACCATGTACCCAGAGAGCCAACCCTAGGATCCCGAATTTCCAATCCCTATACCCGATGAAATCAAATACGAAAGAAAAGATACCAAACTCCGTTACGTAGTCGTGCGACCATCCGCGGTATCATAACCAGGGCCGTGTAGCTCGTTCATTTTAGAACGCCATCCATCATTACAAGGTCAGGACCTTCATGTAAATGCCAGGGTGAATTGTCGTGTTCGTGAAATATGGTTGTATGAAAGTGTGTACAAGTAAGGATTCCCGCGTTCAGTGACATCATCTCACGCCGCGGCAGCACCCAAGATGTCCGCGCTCCAGTTGCTGCCGAGGGTCATCAGCTTACGCTTGATGCCGTCGCCTATGCGCGTGCTGATTGCCTCGTCGAGGGTCTTGATGGCGAAAGTCAAGACCTCGGTAGGCTTATCCAGGTCTACGGTGGAGCCGTCCATGCGCGTGAGGACTGCGACGCCGTTGTTGTGCCAGAGGTAGGCGTAGACACTGGGGTCCTCAAGAGTGAGCTGGTCGACGGCGACGGCGTTGCTGGTCACTGGACTATGGTCCTCGCGCTTCTGTATTTGGAAATTGGGGTCTAGTCGGCTGATGCTGTCGGTCCAGAGGATCAGCGTCGCGCGATAGAGCGCGGCGCTCCACCAGGCTGGTCGCCGGTCTGCTGGCATTTGGCGTAGAAGCCGGAAGACCTGTCCACAATGAAATACAGCCTCCTCGCGTTGGTAGATGCAACGCTTGTGCCGAAGAGAAAGCTCCCAGTATGAGCCGTCAAAGTTCTCCCTACGGGCAAGCCGCTCAATCTCTGGGAAGTTGGTAACAGCATGGAGCGAAATGAGATGATATAGAACCATATTGCACCGCGTGACAGGGCAGTTCGGGTTCTCCTTGTAGAAGCTCATAGAAAGCTCATACCATTTCTGCAAGAGGACTTGCACTTCCTCTAAGCGGAGGAGAGTGGATGCTTTCGTGACAGTTCTTGACGTATTTCGACGCGCAGCTAGTACGTCAGAAAAGCATGATAACATCTCCCGCAGGTGATATAGAAGGGATTGAAGAGGGTGCAAGAGCAGCCGCAGTTGCTGTGGGGTGAGAGTGCCTTGTCGGCGGGACAAATTATCGTGAAGGAAGTCTTGATAAAGTTCATACAGTGAAGGGGTAAGAGAGGGAGACGAAAGAAGCTGAGGATTAACATTCGCAGTGAATCCATAAATGGAACGAATGGATGAAAGCCAACTCTCAGAATTGGGCGATAGCCATAGCATTTCTGGGCTTGGTAAGGGGCACTGAAGCTCCGTTATAGACAGCATGGGAGCAGTGTCATGAAACAGGCTTAGTTCTTGATCTACCATGACCCAGTTGTAAACCAGTCTAAGAACCATGAGCGTTAGCATCGATTCCTAGAAGATATACGGCTTGTGTTGATGCACTTACCTGTTCTGTGCTTCCCGATGAAGCCATGACCGCCACTGAAGCTCTGTGCTTGTTGTGTTGTTGAAGGTGGGAATCATGGACGGTTGAGGCTCCAGCATCCCCGCATGTTTCAGCATCTATAGGACGCAATTAGTATTCGTGCCTTAAAGGTCGCAGATTTAGATTCCTACCGAAAGGTACATGCCGCGCTGGCCCATGGCAATGTCCATTTGCCACTTGTCGCCGCTCCATGCGCCTAGCAATGTGAATAGCAAGGCGCACCGCAGAGCGATGGGATCAGCAGACAGTTCAACATCTTTTTCAATAATGTCAAACAATGAGATGCGGCAAGTTTCTGTGAGGCCAGCAGAGAGATATCTCGCCTCCGCAGTTGGCACAGAGGCAGCGCCCTGCGCGATCATAAGCAAGACGAGGAGCGTCGAGGCTTGATTGTTGCTCAACATCTCATTCGGATCAACGCAGCCTGCGAAGACCAGTGGGTAGAAATCCTGAAGACTCCGCACATAGCTGCGAAGGAAGTACTCCAGGATATTGGATGGCGGCAACACAATGAAGCTGAAGTCACCGGGACTAGCGTAGCCAGTCTTTGGATACCCACTGATACTTGCTCTGTGAATGTCGAGGGCTTTGTGTAAGAATGTCTGCGTGATGGCGAGCATCTTGTCACGTGTCCTCGACGTAAGTGGCACAACTGTTGGCATCTCCACTCCATCTCCGGTGAACTGCTCAATGAACTTTTCAAGCGAGTTCCACGTGCCCTCTTGTTTGCATTTCTGCTCCAGAGCTTCAAGATGCACAATTGCTGTGCGCGGGCAGGTGCCCGAATACATGAGCGGGTTGCACCGCGCCAGAGGCCATGCGTTTTCTGATGCAATGACAACCTCAAATTCAGGTATGGAATTGTCGTTGGAGACTGTCATTGACATGTCAATAGATTTCAGCGGACTCTCAAAGTCGCCAGTAGAAAGGATGCTGGTGCCTCTCGTGTGAATAGATCCCCTTGATGAAGAGCTGCTCATTGGCTCAGAACCCGACGATACGTCGCTGAGCTCGGTGAACGCTGGCATGACGACGTCTGCCCGAGATAAACTCATACTTTGGGGATACATGTCAAGCTCAAGTGAATACTCGGGCCAAACGAGTAAATCTTGGTAGCTGGACTCCGTCGCCACAAAGTCGCCGCCAAGTTGCATGAATTCATCAAGTGTATCCATCCGTGTATGAGGAGATGGGAAATCATCACCGCTTGCGTGAGAATGAGCAGGAGACTTTCTCTGATGCGGCAAGTCCTGTAACCGAGGATCTATAGTGGTCACTGGATCTCCCGGTGCTGATGTCTTTCCGGGGGACTCTTGAGGAGGGAGGTGTTGGTCGATTTCCATAAACGTGGGTGAAACAGCACCGATCTGTGGTGGTTGAGCTGTGGGAAAGGCTGATGTTGCTTGAGCCGCTCGCACCGCGGCTTTGGATGACCGACGGGCAAATCGGGCAGCACATGGCAGGTTCTTCTCTGCACACCTCGAGCAAGGAACCCTCTTATCGCAGCCTGTCTTTGCGTTGGCACAGTTCTGGCATGCTATCGGTGTTCGACCTGCGACGGTAGGCACGCCGCCTGGTAGTGGCTCCATAGGGTCTCTTGCTTCATGGTATGTCGAGTGGTGCCTTTGGAGCAGATCCCTATCGTGGTATGAATTAGCGATGTTTGTAACAGTAAAGGGACACCATCATTACTCACCTTCGAGCGAATGATAGCTGACAAGCACTGCATCGGTGAGGTTTGACATTCGTGTCTAATGTCACGTTGTTAGTTGATTGCTTCATCATGACTGATCACATCACACAGGAACTCACGGGAGGGTATGTGTCTCTCCAGATGCTCCTTGCGGGTGAATTCTTTCCCACAATATGCGCAATAGACCATGGTGGCACGCGTTGATTAAACAGTAAGACACTTGTGTTCAGATGATGTTTGTTTGCTCATCAAAGACTGGTGTCGAGTGTTGCTGGCAATGGGTCTATAAAGTTACGTGACGATGTTGTGGCCGGTTGGTGTAAGTGAGAGGAAGGTCGAGTGGCCGAACTTTGAACCCGGGTAGACGGATACACGTCTCGTGTCTTGAACTGAAGCGGGCAGCCGGGACACTTGTTGATAAGAGTGAATAGGTGCAGCGAGCGAATGCAGGAAAGGAAAAGAAAGACTGGTATCGAAAATGGGAAAAGAGGAAAAGGGTAATTAACTATCTGCAGGAAACGATGAACCTTGCATGGGACAGAGAACAACCCTCGGGATGTACTATGTAGGGTATGAAATGGCCGGGACAGACTCATATCGGAAATATTGGAAAGAGAGACACACCTACCGTTGTGGCCGAGATGGTGCCTGCTTCGATTACCATGAGGGCTAGTTCCCATTTTGGGTGGTGATGCGTCTTGAGGTACGTATCTAAGACATGGAGAAAGCAATCTGAACCGCCAGGGTTGTTAAGACGTTCAGCCGCCAGGGTACATAGGTCCATGTATCTTATCTCGAAGCCGGGGTAGCTGATCTGGCTTAGGAATCGAATAACGATACGCACCAATGATGGCCAGCAGAGGGACACAAGAACGCATTACAAGGGTACGGAATAGGAATAGCAACGAGAATGAAAAGGCGCCTGGGGAACGGTATCGAGGTAAATGCATCGAGGGGACGCAAGACCAGGGTCTATGCCGAATGCTGGAGATACGAATCAAGCAACGCACTGAGGTACAGAGAGCTTCGTGAGCGGAATGACGAGATCAGCGAGGCACACCTTAGAGCGGTCCCTCTGGCCGGTACAGCAGCTCAACCACATTCAGGAGAGTGTGTGTGGATTATCCATATGATGAGTGAGCCGGGATTAGATTGTGGCAGTCGAAGTCTCATGGACCGCGATGGCAGCGAGCCAGCATGGAGGTTGGTTGGATTGAGGCCCGAGATGCGAGTAAGGGTCGGAGAGGGTTGCAAGACTATCATCACCGCGTTAGGACGGCGGTGTCAGAAGAGCCATTGACGCCTCAGCAGCGTCCACGTCTGCGATACCATGTCGGCATCAGTGCGGCTTGAGGAAGGGATCTTCTGTGGAGGTGCCTACTCAGGAAAGAAAGGGCCCTAGCAACCAGCATTGTTCGCCGGTGAGCGATGCATCAGCGAGCCTCGAACCTCGAGCCTCGAGCTTCGAGTCGCAGAGTAGACAAGTGACCACAACGCTGGGTCCTAGGCTTGGGCCTCGACAGGGCCCTCCTCGCTGAGACACGGCCGTCGATCAGTCCCCGAGTGAGCAAGCGACACACCCCCAACACACGGACAGAAAGACAGGCACAGAGACAGTCAGGGACAGCGTAGGTGTGGGCGTAGGGCCAGTGACGCTCAGGGACGGCGGGTCCTGGAGGCCGACAGCGCACAGATCGACTGGATGGGCTTCTGCCAGCTGTTCTGAGTCTCGCGCGCCGTGACCCGTGGACTATAGACTCGTAGGCTCGCAGACCGTCGTGTGCGCCTGGTGTCGTGTGGGTAGGGATTGCAATTGCTGTGTGTGAAGTTGCGAGCTAAGTATGCAAGGTTCGGTGATCTACTAAATTGTAAATGATCTGCCGCCGGCTAGCGAGCGGGATCGACTTACTACGGTGACGCCCCTCAGCGCCCACAGGCGCTGTGAGAATGCGCCAGAGACACTTCCCATCCAGCATCCAGCATCCAGCAGCCAGCAACCCCTGGCGATGAACCTGTTAATTTCCCACCGTCTTTGGTCTTCCAAGATAAGTCGTCTACAGTTGGTGATACCCAAAGGGGCCGGTTCTAGTTTCGTTCCGTCACGATGGGCTGGCAAATATGCACAAAGGAGCCAGTCTTGCCCAGATCAAACTAAGCGACAGTGCCAAACCGCCCGGGCGGGTATTTTCAATTGTAATTATGCCAGTGAATAAGTAGACAATCGCCGTCCTGGTGCACCCGGAGCCAGTCACAAGATGCTACCTAAGTAAACGTGAAGGTGTGGGCTTTTTCGTGGGGGTATTGTACTTGCAATTTCATTGCCTGGAAAAACACCAAGAACATGTCTTGTATTGTATTGTACGATACCATTGAGATATACCGCTGAACTCGAGGCCGGGTTTACCCTTGATAACAGGCAGTGCATATCAAGCCTAACTCTACTGCACGTTCTGAAATTAGCTACATACGAGCCAGGACAAGACCATGGGTGAAGCAAATCCGCCTACAACAAGGGCTCTGTGATGTACCTACCTGTAGTGTATCGTGGCTGGAGACGATTCTTCGGTGTTCGCATCACCTCTTCTCAGCCCTGAATGCTCTCCGCAACATGATAGCGTCACCAAGGATGCAACACTCGAGTTGTATGACACTCGTCGACTCTAGCTGCGTGCGTGTCAGTTTCGTCTGAGTTTCTTTGAATTCCCATCCTCTTTGACCTGCTCCAAATAATACCAGAGGCATTGCAAAAACACAATTTAGTACACATACGGGAGGTAAAGCACGCTAATTAAATTGGGTCTCACTAAAAATAAGCTCATGCCGGTGCTACGGTTTAGCTTCCGGCTGCCGTGCGGCTGGTCGAACCCGACATTTAGGCGGCTGTTATAGGTAGCTGCCAGGGTTGTTCATGCTTCTCCTCATTCGCCAGATCTCATATCCCCGCCGCTGATGCGACTGGTGCAGGCTTGATACCAGCAGTGCCAGCCTCTCCAGACGCCCGACAATGGAGAATGCAACTTGGCGGAGGATCATCTTGCTTCTCTAAGTGGCTCCTTTCACCAACAGCCGCTGTTATCTGATCACGGTCCTTCATCTCCCTCCCCCCCCGGGGGCCCTAGACTAGGCTGTCAAGTTTATGTGCTTCAATCCATCGAGCATGTCACATCGCCTTGGCCTACATATCTGAGTCAAACGGTAGCGCCATGGCTCTAGTTGTCGTCATAGTCCACCCTCATCACCTTGCAGAGGCTTCAGCCCTTGAACACGGCCGGCCTGTTTCACAGATTGGGCTGATTCCTCGAGGTAAGGCTGTGTTCGGCCGCTCCCCCTAAGCTTGTCGATCTCAATTGCCCTTTGATGGATTTATTGAGAGATGGCTTCGGTACGTTCGGTCGAATGTTTCGGCACTCGTTTAGGGCGGTTTGAGCAACAGACCCTCCTGAGGTGGATACGCGGACTCGATCCTGCCCCATTGCTTCGATACACTGCATCGTATTTCGGTGGATAAGCATTCGATCTTGCACACCGATAACGTGCAGTTGTAAATACGAACAGTTGACCTCAGCCACCGACGCACTCATGTCCTGCTCCCTCATGCGGCATGTCGTGTCCCAGCCTGTTCATAGCCTGTCAGCCGTATATCGGAGGCCGTCGTGCTTTGAAATCCTGCTCAGATTCAATTGCAAACCCTCAGTAGTCGAGCTCTCATTGAAAGAGCAATCTTTTTGAACCCCCAGCTTTTGAACTTACTCTGAAGACACCCATATCCTAAACTTTGCCCTATCGGTGAATTGAATAAGAGAGGGACAGGTGTGTGAGACGTAGCTGCATCACCATTATGCTTTGGGCCCATATCATGGCGTTTTGGTTTTTCTTTTTTTTCGTTCCATCTTAGCCATATTGGGTTCTCGCTTGTTGTTATTGCTCATGTCTCAGAGCTTTGATGTCCTTGTTAGTCTTTCGTGTTGCAGTCTCAGTACGCCACGTACCGTTGGGAAGTCTTGTCCCGTACATCACAGCTCCCTCGACATGAAAAAGCATTGAGCAGACAGCCTTTGTTTCTAAGTGGCTGGAATATTGCAGATGGCTAGTGTCACTAGCAGAGTTCTTTGATACGAAGGGCGAATTCTTCCAAAATCAAGTTTCTAGGTCGGTATGCTGTTCATCCGTGATCAGAGTGAGCCTCATAACCAATGCAAGGGAAGGCCGTCCTAGAAGCACACCTGGTGCAGGCTTGCCTCCGTCAACAGGGGCTTCATAATACTATTATCAAGACCCTCTGCAAGTGGCTAAAGCAATTACAAATCCTCTTCTAGTGGGAATATAGCACATGATGGTTCACGTCGATCAGCAGTGAAGCATGAGTCCCTCTTGTGGTTTGTAGCACTGCTCATATCTGTCTCCAGAATCTTGAGAAGGATTACATACAGACGCAGTACGACCCAATGGATCCCCGAATACTTCCAAGCGGAAAGACGAACCGTCCCGAAGCACCCGAGACCGAGAAGCTAAGAGGTAGACACGAACACCCCGTAGTACCATGGACTAACGGCCCTTACTCTGCATGCAGACACCCAGGTACCGAGGCCGAGACCCGCATACTCTCCGCCAAAGGAGGGCGTCCTTTAGCGAACTTCCTCAAGGACACTGCCGACTCCTCTATGGAGAAAAGGCCAACCGTGTCACGGAGCTTGAATTTGAGCCTAGCGACGCTGTGGCGCCTCAAAGCCCTTGAAAACGTGCTCGAAGTTGTACTCATTCCAGCGAACGAAAGGCTTCAGCCCAGCGAATTTCCACTCGCCATCTACCTTGCGGTAGTAGTGCTCATTGGTTGCATGGCTGTGGCCGCGCATCTCCTCTGCCGTGCGGCTCTCGTCAGTATATCGCAGGTGAGCAGCCCGCAGTTGATGGCGGCCGATGATGTAGTCATCATTGACCTTCTCCCATCTACTCATGCCGAGAAGATGCTGGGTCTGGAGCAGTGGGTCGCCCAGAAAGCCCGAATCAGACATCATTGAGACGTAGTCATCGGCTTTCATAGCTTCCCACTTCTTGCCAGAGACGTGAGAATAGTCAACCTGCACAAGGCCAGTGAGCAAACTCTATCCTATGGACTAGCATGCGGATTTCGTAACACTGTAATCTGCAGATACTACGTATCGCAGCAACAGGAGCTTACGACGACTTACTAGGAGCTCAGGAGCGGCGATGCCACGCAATCTGTCCCAGTCCTAAGGCGACACAACCATTAGCCATCGTCAGGTTTGATTTGAGAGTTGCTTGCCTTGGAGTCATAACTCTCAGCCCACTCGAACACGGCTTTAGTGACGCCTAGCCAATCTGCGGAAGCTGAAGTCAGCTTATGGTCTCGAAGGACGATACAAGCCTGGGACCGACCTTCAAAGTGAGCTCAGGCTTCTCGCTGATCTCGGCCGCCATGCTGTGCGGTCTCGGTTTCTTCGGTTCAGTCCAGTCACCGAAGTTGAGCGTAAGTGGATACGTGCTCTATCTCTCGATATTGCTCGTTGTCTCTTTTTCCAGTTCTTGAGCGGCAGACTCAGGCTCTCAGCAAATCCACTATCTCATCCTTATGTAGACTAATTTGCTACTGCTTTTACTCCCTTTTTCGTGGGGTAGTCCAACCTCGAAGGCACTTTTCGTCTCAGTGGGCACGGCGGGCGTATCCGGACATGCGCAACGGACAAGGCTTTGTCGGACCCCCAACGTAGGGGCAACTGCGTACCTCCGTACCCTTTCTTCATCCCGCACTCCAAGTTTCTAAAATCAGAGTCCGATAGATTGATCGCGCCGAGAGATGGATGGCACGGCCGAGAGTCAAAACTGACGACCGGTCACGTTAACACATGTCCTGGTCCCGGTTAAACAGCCAGTTGTACCTCTGTAAGGGCTTAGGCTTTTATCCGGTATCAATCAACCGGGACGCCGTCGGACAGAGGCTTGCATCTTTGATATGAGGCTTGAATTTGACCGTTGCCCATCCGCAAGGGGAAGCTGCTTAATGCTACGAGGAGCGGCTCTCATAGACCTTGTACGACTGTATGACCTTCCAATTGCCATGGCAATGCGACGTTGTCGCTTCAGCGGCATGGATCAATGGGATATATGGCTTGTTACAAGAGCTTTGATTAGCTATGCTGGAAATTTTCTTGACTGAAGAGCAGCGCGGGCTACAGGAGAGATCTACCAACGGCATATAGCGGAGGGGCTTCCTGATGATTAAGCTTGCTTGTTAGTTACCAGATTCAATATGGAGGAAGAGGAGTCTCGAGGTCCAAGTATAGGTACTCTCGGCAGCAAAGTCTGTGAGTGGTCTCAAGCTATCACACCGTTCTCATGGAACCCTGGCTACGTATTGGTACCCTGAAGCCCTGAACGCTGTTCCATTCTTTCGTCTTCAAGTTCTTGTTCGAGTGACTGTCCTCTGCGCCTTGGCGTCATGTAAGTCTAGTCTACTCGTCGGAAGCACAATATCAACCAACCCGTCAAAGGGAGAATACAGGCTCAGAAGCCACGATATTCCCCAGGATCGTCATTCATGACCCACTATTCGGCCATCAAAACAGGCGAGAAAACTATGCATAAGACAAACGGGTCAATGTCTTGCTTTCTTGCGTGCCGGTCGGTCCAAGTGGACGGCATATTGTGACGGCTACGGGCAGCAGTAGTGAGAGAGTCTTGTCCGCTACCGAGGATGACTTGGAGTTGGAAGCCATCCACCGATGACCAGGAGCCGCTGGCTTGGGCGTTGGGTACACAAAACCGGTCGTGTCGTGACCACAGGGTTGCAGTGGGCAGACATGATCGAGGTTGTACTCGGTATACAAGCGAGATGTCGACGATCGGTCGACCTCTCGCGTTTCTTTTGTCACTCGCCTCTTCCCGTCGGCCCATCTATACTATCGTCTCATGATCGTAGCCGCGTATGCGCGCATGCCAGGCATCACCGTCGGCACCGAGGAGTAGGTGGATACTTTCTCCTTACTTCTCAGGACGATCTCTGTACAGGCTAGCAGACATAGCATGAGGCTTTCCCTAGCCTCGGCGCATCACTGTTTGAGTCGCCGAAGACAGAATCACATAGTGGTCGAGGCGTATACTATGCTCCTTAGATGTAGAACCGTCATCTTCATGATGGTGTCGTAAGCCTCGTAGGCTCTTCCCTCCTGAGCGTGTTCCCGCGAACAATAGTCGAAGAAGCAAAGTCAGCGTTCCCCTAAAACGTTAGAATGAAAGATTTGTAATGTCAGCCGGCTGCCCTTCTTCTGCACAATGGGCGGCGGCGACCAATACCAGCAGGCGAATCTAGCAGCCCGTCAGAACCTGAAACGACGACGAGCAGACGGGGAGGGAACTCCTGCATCTGCCATGATCTTTGCAGTTGGGCGTACTCTGACACCACCCAATATCATCCGCCCGCCCCGGGGCTAGGGGGCGGATAACTGCCATAACTACCCCCGAGACATTCGGCACCGACGGTGTTCACTCTTATCCGAATACATAGTAGATGGCATCACGCCTGCAACTACCATGAATATACCATACATCGGAGAGAGACAAAATAATCTATATTGCATCTGTGGTGATGCGTCCATTGCTTTTGACCAGTTGCTATAACTTACCAGGTAAAGATCTGCCGTGGACGGACAGGGCGTCTTCGGAGGTTTAGATCTTATATCGAGACACCGGTGACTCGCCTGGTTATATACCTAATCTGTCTGATGGAACGCCTTCGAAGAAAGATATAAGAACTCCTTGAGTAACCTCGTCATCAGCTGGGCTTCTTCACTAGGCTCGCTCGAACGCAATCGAACAGGAGGGATTCGGTGTCACTGTCTGATGGGGAGAACGGTTCGTCACACCAAACCAGCCATCTGGGGGACCAAGTTGATCATCGACCTTGATCAAAGTGAAGCATTTCATGGAAGAATCCAAAAGAAAGAGTGAGGAATCTCAAAGGGAGAAAAGGGCTTGCAAGAGATCGGGAAGATCCATCAGGAGGAATAGAAGCCCAGCTCGACAGTACGCCACACCGGCACCAAAATCATGAATCATTTCACGACAACATAGAATATCATGGCCGACGACCTTAACGATGATAACATATGCCTCCAGCATCACCGCAGCCCGGTATCGACGCTACGTTTGGATGTGGTCCTTGGCCAACGAGCTATGTCGTCGAAGCATACTTGAAAGTTCTCATCATACTAATGATTTATGGTTGGACAGTATTGAGTCTATTTAGGAAGAGGAGGAAGTGTTGGTGGTATCATGATGTGTTCTAAGGCAAGAGGATTGGTTGTGGGACTTCGACAACAACGAACTACTTGCCCGATGTCAAGGAAACCATGGAGAGACCTGTTGAGGATCTTCACCAATGTCTGCAGGTAACCAGGAGATTGAACCAGGAGATTAAACGGATCAAAAAGGGAAAATATGGATGAGGTCGTGGAAACGGGCATGCACTAAGCATGTGTCGGCAAATGGGAATTATATTACGCGCTTGCGGACCCGGAAGATACGCCGAGAACCTCTCCGTACCATGAGCAACTGCTGCCCTCGAGAAACACTCATATCAGCATATCAAGAGGACGCACTGCAATAGACGGCCAACTATGCAGCAACAGCGATGACCTCCACTCACTTGGATTAAGAAGTATCATTATGACTTGGAAGGTCTCTGGCAACGAGGAGGGTTGACTATCGTGTTGAAGAGGAAGAGACATAAAACTAAGAGATGTTGATGGGTGTCTTGCGGAGGATCACGACACCAGCCTACTCATGCTCTCTTTCGAACGGCATCGACATGTTAACCGTTTGTACAGCTCGGGCCTCCACAACGAAGCCATGGGCTTGACTGTGATCTGATCATTTCTAGTTTTCTTGACTTTGAAGTAGGATGCCTGAAGCTTTGTTGACAAAGGCTGTTTTTGAGTTAGTGTTGGAGGTGCCCTGGCTTTAGCCGAACTTTCAGCCGGCAACCACCAAAGTCCCCTCAAGTCTTGTGCCAGGATTGATCACTGTACGGATGCATCAGTGTGCGGTTTCCTATGACAGACTCGCAAGCCAACTATCGACTTCGAACTATACCCAACATATCTAGACAAAGGTGGATCTGGCGTTGGTCCATCATGATAGTACTCTTCGACCGGCCAAGTCATGGCTTTTGACATTTGACTGTAACAAGATGTAATCGGAGCAGAATGTCTCAAATTGATTTTGAGTAAATTGCTTCGAGACTTTATGCAAGTAAGTCTATCATGAAGGTTGTATCCGGCGAGGCATCTACGCGGAAACATTGCGATCATGAGAAGATGTATCGACACAGAGCCTTGATTGAAGGTTGCTGTGATCTATCAATACTGATCCATTCACACAAGGTTGGAAATAACTCACAGCAATTCGACCCAGTGTGCTTGGGAAAGCAAGTGCTTGGAAGGCACGTAGGTTGGAAAAGAGGTCTGTAAAAATGACGAGAGCTTAAGGCGATAACGGGTTTCCGCTCCTTCAACATGGCTCATGAATCATGAGGGAACAGGAAATACCTCAAGAATCCATTGTAGATTGAACTATGAGGTTCACAAGGTAATATGTCACGGACCTACGCAGAAGATATCAAAAACAAAAACGGCAACATCCCACATACATCGAGCAGTCGCCGCATGGAACATAACAGGAAGCAGTGTATTAATGAAGAGGCTCTTCAGCTACTCTGACTAGAATGCCTTGGAGCTTTTGATGTCACAGATGGTTCGGCCATATGATCGATACAAAACAAAAATCCTGACGTAGAACGTCAGAACATAGTCTAAAATGGCAATTCAACTAGAATAACTAACGTTCTGAACGCAATGAGTGATAGGCACCTCATCTCAACATATATTGCTCACAGCTACATTGACTTTAGTCTTGAACTAGCACAAGGACTCAGACCGCCTCTGGTGTATCTACTGCAATTCGCCAGAAAAAAAAGAACAACAATATAACACAAAATTGTGAATCTATAAGCTGCACGTGAGAGACAACCTGGATGTAGTGCGAGTTTTTCGATTTGCAACATAGAGCGAAAATAAAAGTTTCTGGCGGTGATTCACCCACTGGGGCTTAGGGCTTCAGATCAGTCATACCTGATGATACAAACCAGCTGCCAAACATATTGGAACAATGAAATTGAGTTTCTCACAGGAAGCAACAGGGAAGAAAACACAGTCTAGGTTCACAAAATATCAATTTCACTTCTATGTTTGAAATTGAAAAGACAAAAGACAACAACTAAACACTTTTAGGGTAACTAGTTCCTAAGAAGATCTCAGCATAATGTCAGATTCTTCACAAATAGCTCTCCCAAGTTTGTAGGGAATTATCACAATCGCAAGAGACTTTCCAATTTCGCTTTTTATACATAGAGCTATACAAGCATAGCGCAAGTTCTGTTGTTTGGGAGCGTGAACCCCGTCGCTCAATGTTCAAATCATTTATAGACCTTGCTCCTTCTTCTCCTCTTCCCTTAACCTTGTGACAAGCTTTTGAGTCAGAAATGGGCTTAGGCCCAAGCTAATCAAGTCGTCAGCATTCATGTTTGTATTGAGAGCCCAGTGAAGTCAAACACCTACATTCCCTCATTTGTGATAATCCTGTAGGTACCACTAGGCTGGAAATTTCCCCTAAGATTTCCCTGACCATCGACCTCTACACTACCAAGAATGTCTTCCGGCCTGCTTCTGGTGAGTAATGGAAAAGAGAGGCGAGAAACGGTCCCAAGAGATCTTACCATGCTATTCTTCCAAAGTCTGGTGGGTTCCTCCTCTGCACTATGTATCAGCAAAGGATCCGGTGCATAATGGCTACGCATATTCTCGCTTACATCACTGAGATGAACCCATCCACCAACGCCTGCTCCGCCGGCACCACCCTGTGCGCTCGCGCCTCCAGTGCTACTTCCGCCAGCACCACCACCTCCACCAAGGCCAGCACCACTGCTTTTTGATATTCTCTTTGGGCGATGTTGTTGTGGGAAGAATGCGCCGCCAGATCCAAGCGTAGCACCGCCTGGTGAGGCAAATGCTTGTGCCGATGCTTTCAGGTCATCATCTTCTGCAGCATGATCCTCTAGGACCTCGTTCAGTATCGTCAAGAATCGACGATTCTCTCTGAAAGTTTTTGGAGTCGGCGGGATGGCCGTGCTTGTGCCAATTGCGAGATCATGCGAAGGAGGTTCAGTCTCGAGGTAGGTCAGGATGTAGCTGTTGGGTATAGCTGGGTCAGGAAAGACTTTCTGGAGCATTACATTAGTCTTCTTGAGATTGATGACCTAAACACCCTGCTTCTTACAATGTTTGCGTTGGAGGACAGGGTGCTCACTGCCCTGTATAAGGAGCTGCTTAATTGGGCGGAGGCTCTGAAGCGTGATGCGAGCATATTTGATGTTGTTGCATATGTCAAGAGCTCGAGTGCAATTTGAAGCTGCTCAGAAAACTAACATGCCGTCATATGGGTCCCGGCCGGCAATGTTGCCGTACTCAGTGGTGGGCCCCTGTAACCCACTTGTCCACCCCGCCAACGCGCTTCTGTGGTCTAGAAACGCGACTTCCAGAGCCAGTCGCGTCTCTTTAATTGATTTCTGGTCTTGATGCCCTCAAACGTAACAACGAGGCGAACTGTGTGAAATTTACCCTAATTGCGACTGAGGATTCTCGAAGAAGTCGTATAGGAGAGTAATGACCGCAATGCAGCTCAGTCCAACTAAGAGGCGGCAGCAAAAAGAGCTGACCGGTGCTCTGTTCACAGGCAAGGGCATTGCGCCGCTGCCATCCTCCTCGATACCTTCATCATCACCAGCGTTTGGCACCCCAGTACATCCGATTAAGCCGTTTACCGTTGCACCACCTACGAAAGCCACGATACTCCCAATTCTTCTACCCCCGGCGACACTGCGCCCGCTTGCCTTCAGAACTTTCACGAAGAAACATAGCTTGACGCTGACAAGCTCTGCATTGCAAGAGCTCGCGACGTTCATCGGCAGACATTGCGGCTCAGGGTGGCGCGAAGAAGGGCTCGCCGAGAAAGTTCTAGAGGAAGTTGCGAAGAGCTGGAAGAACCGCAATGGCGGCGTTATTGTGGACGGCTCGAGCCCTGAGCTCAAGGACATTCTCAAAGCGCTGGAGGGAAACATGAGCGGCGGCAAGATCATAAGCGGAGGAAGAGGATTGACGCGTCAGAACAGTCTTATGCTCGAGGTATCACAAGAATCGGAGTTGTCAAATACCAGGTTAGGTCTCAGACCTACGGCAAATTTGTCCAGAGATGATAGCCAGACGAGCATGGGCATGTCCGGCTTGGCTGTCGAAGAGGAGCCAGATGACGAGACTGTCGACGATCCGAGGAGATGGCTGAAGGTTGTCAGCGCATTGGAGCAGCCTCGTCTTATATATAATGTGGCTAAGAAGCACTTTGAAAGGTAAGAACTCCCCAGAGAGGGAGCAGTGAGTGGGTATTAACAGGTATGCAGAGAGACCTCGAAAGCCTCGCTGCTACCCCCAAGTTCACACAAAACGACCGTCTTCCGAAATCGATTCAACGTCATACATCAAAGGTTGCTGAGGAATGAGTCTTTCCAAACATCGGCCGTTGCAAGTACAAAAGCACCCTCTCTGAGACGCTCTTCATCCGAACTACAATCTCATAAAATCACTCCGCTCGCAAATCTTCTAGGTCGGCATGGCAGTCACCACATGCTCCTCGGCATGTTAAATATCTTGCCGACTGGTAATCTCGCTATAAGTGACCTCACGGGCACGATAACTCTCGACGTCTCTCAGGCAGTGGCTATCCCTGACGATTCAGCCTGGTTTACCCCTGGGATGATTGTTCTTATCGACGGTGTCTACGAAGAGGAGGAAGAGTCGGTAGGAAAAGGCCTGAGTGGAAGCAGCGGAGTTGGAGGTACCATAGGTGGTCGCTTCCAAGGCTTCTTCATCGGCCAGCCGCCATGTGAGAAAAGGAGAGCGACCTTGGGAGTGAGCGGTCCTGATGGGGGTCAAGATCACACCATTGGCGGCGGGTTTGGATGGATTGACTTTCTTGGTGTCGGTAGCGAGCGTGCTTGCGGGTCACGCATGCGAAAGCTGGAGCATAGGCTGCTCCGGCAGCCATCTTCTCCTGATATACCTGGCCGAGGGCGAATGGTCATCCTCGGCGAGCTAAATCTTGACCAACCGCGGACACTCCAGGCGATCAAGAAGATTCTGTCAACCTATGCGATGGAGCCAGAAGGCTCAACGCCGATGAGCTTTGTATTCACAGGCAACTTCACCCAGCACGCAGTCATGGCGCGAGGCGGTAGCGGTGGCAGTGTGGAGTACAAGGAGTATTTCGACTCTCTAGCAGCCATCCTTGCCGAGTTCCCAACCCTACTAACCACCGCTACCTTCACATTCGTCCCAGGCGATAATGATGGCTGGGTATCTTCCTTCTCAGCTGGAGCTGCAGTTCCTCTGCCGAGAAAGTCTGTACCAGATCTGTTCACTTCCAGAATCAGGCGCACCTTTGCATCGGCCAACTCAGAAGCAGGAACTTCCGCCGGCCAAGGCGGCGAGGCTGTCTTCACTAGCAACCCCAGTCGCATTTCTCTATTCGGACCTAGCCACGAGATCGTTGTATTCCGCGATGACATATCCGCACGTCTACGGCGGTCAGCGGTACGTCTCAAAAGCACCGCCCGGCCACAGGAGGACGAGAATGAGGAAAACCGGCCGCCTACTATTGAGGACGATGTTGCCATGTCAGGAGCGATTCCCGATAATGGCGAGGCAGATGACATGGAGATTGACAGGCCAGAAAAGAAGCCTACAGCTATATCAGAGGTTCCTTATGACGTTCAAGCATCTCGAAAGCTTGTCAAGACGCTTCTTGACCAGGGCTACCTCGCTCCTTTTAGACAGTCCATTCGGCCGGTTCACTGGGATTACGCGAGCGCATTGCACCTGTATCCACTGCCAACTTCGATGGTATTAGTAGATACGACAGCACCACCATTCTGTCTCACCTATGAAGGATGCCACGTCATGAACCCAGGTAGTGTCTTGATCACAGGCCGGAAGAGCGTTGGGCGATGGATAGAGTACGAGATTGGTCGAGTTGGTAGAGTACGGGAATGCGTGTTTTGAACTCAAATCACTAACAATGTGGCACGATTAACGATGGTATGTGCTTGTTCAGCATGTCGAGATCTGGGTTTGCAGGATTAATAGCATCAAAGGCATGATAAGGTATAAAGGGTATATGAATTTAATCAAAGTAATATCCATGATCTAGAAGCGCTTGCCAATCTGATCCCTGATGATAACCAATGTAATGACATTGTCCTAGAGACAAACCAGTTCGATGCGACCTTGCCGTTGTCCAAATGCATTTGCCGGAAACGAATGACATAGTTCGCCTGTGTATACAACTTTTGATGATCCCTGTATCCGTTGCCTATTTCCATTATGTGCCCTTATTGCAACAACAGAGACTCCTCATCGAGAACGCCGAACAAGCCCTCAATCTCCTTCTCCACAACCTTCAGCTCTTCCGCAACTTGGCCAGTGACCAAGGCATACGCATATAGCAAAGCATAGTCTCGCTCCTCAACTACCACTTGGCCGGCAAGGCTGCCGCTCTTATACCCTCTTCCGTTACTCTTACCGGTCGCCTCGCCGTTCTTATCGGCTTCTTTAGCTGCGAGTGCCGCAGCATGATCCTTCCTAAACTGGAAGATCTTGCCCAGGAGTTTATCCCGCGTTCCACTGACACTCGGGATCGCGTCTGAAAGAGGATACTCGAGCATAATTGAAGAAGCTAAAGCTTGGAACACATGGCAGATGCGGTCACACAGAAGAGCACGCTCCTGCGCCGTGAAAAGGAGAAGGGCTCTCTCGCCATCTGTTAGATGGCCCCTCCGTTGCGTGACTAGACTCATGGCATAAAACGCATCTAGAAGACGGCGCGTGCAGGCCATGACTCGGCCGGTAGCATCATAAGGGAACGGCCCTCGCAGCTCGAACTCGTGGATAGCTGAGTCACGAAGAGTTTCCAGCCGAGAGGCATATCGCTGCAGGGCCGCTTGTTCGCCCGACTTGAGATATGACCTGGTGCAGTCACTTCGAAGGAGAATCGCCAACGGACCTCTCTTCCAAATCAGACCCATCTGCAGATAGAGGACAGAGATGCCCTCCTTGAACTTCTTACGAGCTGAGATCGGCCATACCACACGGCAGACAAACAACCCCCACAGAATACCAGCCATGACAGCAATGGCTCTATGTGTGGCAATTTCCCAGATTAGCGGGTTCGTACCACCTTCGTCGTCGTCGTCATCTTCCACCTTCTGCGTAAGACTGTAGGCGTATAAGGTGGAGACGTTGTACGCGAGGAGGGTAGTTCGGCCAAATGGCACGCGTCCATGCTGGAGAATCATGTAGAAGCTGAACAAGCTGACCAACCAGCCTAAGAAGAACAGCGCTATTCCATTGCCTTGACTGATTGTCCAGTTGACAAGTGTGAAGACGACGCCAGAGATTGTCCCCAGAAATCTGGACAAGCCGGTGGTGTTGGAGGCCCCAACTGTCATAGAGCAGACGATCATGAAAGAGAGTAAGCCCCATTCGCCTCTCCAGTGCTGATAAATGGGTTGGGTCTCCGGAATGAAGGCGAACATGGCCCATATGAGCGCTCCAATCCCAACCTTGAGACCAAACCGAACTACGTTGCGTCAGTGTATGCTAAAGAGCAGCTACTGCAATACTTACTGTCGTCCCTAGCAATCCTCCTTAACAGAGCAAGCACCCTTTGGGAGAAAGTCATGACCACTTTACTGGTCCCGGTAGCAGCGTCCCAGCTATATGTATCTCGTCTTTGAATCATGGTATCAGGTATACCTCGGGGCAGCTGCGACTTTCTGATCGGCCGCACCTCGCTCTCCCGCTCAGTTTCGAAGGGTAGCAGCGTGGGCTGTGTATGGCGCCGTCCATTAGCATCTCTCCAGAACATCAAGAACCTCCAGGTTCGCCGTTGGTGTTCACTGGCATATTTCAGCTCATCCAAGACGTCAAGATATTTAGTCATCTCCTCGCCAAACGTCTGAAGACTGAAGCTGAAGTGTCCACATGCTGCAGCGACCTCTTCAAAATCTGCTTTGATCTTGTCAGATCTTGGTCGTCCTAGCTCTATATTCTTATACAATTCTTCTAGTGCATTCTTCCTCGCGTCGTTGAAAAGTGCTAAGGCATCTAGAAGACTATGTCGGAACTGGTCGTTGATCGTGATTTCGTAGTCTGGAGCTGCTCCAAAGGGCGGCTCGCGCAAGACGCTCGAAAGTGTAAACGCTAGAGATTTCATTGACGGCCCCAACAAAGCAATGAAGAGCTCAAAGATGTCAGTCGGGTTTCGAAATGTACGGCTGTGGCTCATCTCATCGTCGATGCCAGGTCTATCATCGCCACTGCCCTCATCTGAAATCTCATGGATAGCCGTGAGAGTGGCGAACCTGTCTCGAGCATTTGAATTCGACTTCGACGTGGAAGGAAATGAATGCAACCTTGGAGACATGCCGGAACTCGGAGAAGCTGAGCCAGAAGAAAGTGCTGTAGCAGGTTCTTCCAACAGGGTGAACTGTGTGTTCGCGGAGCTTCTCAGACCGCCTATTGATTGCGCCAAAGTTTCCATTGACTTGTATACCGCCTTGTCAAGCTGATATAGCTTCTCGCCTCCCAGAAGATAATATTCGAATTTTGCTTCTCTCAAGCTCGTTGTCATTTGTTTATACCCGGCAGCGTATGCTCGAGATGCTACAGAGAACTCAGCAGCAGTGAGCTCCTCTTCAGATCCACTGAGGAAACTGTGGGTGATCATCGACAGCATATCTCCAAGAGATGTAGATACCTTTGTCATCGAGTCCCGAAGCGATGATCGAGCAGAGGTTCTCCACACCAAAAGGTTGACAATAGTAGTGATGAAAACGGCCATTACCAACATTTTGAGCATCTGAACAATCTTCTGGTTAGAGAAGACGTGCGTCTGTACCGAATTTTCTCTTGTCAAGACGCTGATGATACCCAGAGAAGCCAGTGTACCAGCCGTGTTCACGAGCGGGTTGTTGAGCCTCTGTTTGACCCAGCCGATGAAGCCAAACCCTCCACCGACAAATATTATAAGAACCAAAGCATATGCCACCGTAACAAGGCCAAGTACTGAGCCGAACAACACCGACACAGCCATAGAGAGTATGGATACAATCTCAGCATATAGGACCGCGAGTATAGCAATCGATGTCGCTTCGATCTGCGAGCCAGCCGTCCTCGCGGGATGGAAGTAGACAGTGATTGTTGCAACCACGTGTTTACCATCTGGCTTGCCTAGAAAGTTCGAGACCGGGGGCACGAAAGTCGCAAGACTGGCAACCGCATAGGCCATTGTACACTTCAGCACGTTCCTCCCCTTGGGCGAGCCTAACCAAGTCCCGAATCGGCATGCAGCCGCTTGAGTGCCCTGTACAGCAGCCTGCATTTTCTCCGCTATAGAGCGTCGTGACAAAAGAGGCGCCGCTGTGTCGTCATCGTCCACTCCGTCGCCCTGATCGCGCGGAGGCGCGCGGAGCGTGAACTGGCGCCGCGAGCGCTCGCCGGTAGATGGAATAATAAAGGTGCCATTTCGTAATTTCTGTCAGTTCGTAAAGAGACTTGTTAACAAGCGGTCAAGCTGGTGCGCAAAGTGATGCGCCGACTCACACTTCTCTTGGAAGGCCGGCGCGGTGGCCATTGCCCGCCAGATGGCGTGGAAGAGGAGCTCATCCTTCTGATAGCTCTTCCTCTCACCACTTCCGCCTTCTAATCTTGAGAGCTGGGCTCATGATATGCTATTCAAGCTAGAGATTTTAGGGGTGTCGGAGCAACCGGCAAGGTCCAAAGACTAAGACGTTATTTTATGAAGCGAAGGGAGGTTCGCGGTCAGCTTTGACCACCATAGATGATCGCAGGTGAAGTAAGGTAAGGCAAGGTAGCTATGGTGGCGCAACGGCAAGACCGGTAACCCCAAGATGCGGAGCGTTGGTCAGTGGAGAAGCACTAAAACGCCCGCTAAGAGACGCTCCAACACGTGCATGCAATTGTGGGCTCAGTGGACGGGTCGGAGAGAAGCTCACTGGATCGCGGCCCCAGCCAATCGGCACTCGAGCGTTTCTCAACCTCCCTTACCCGTCTTCGGAGCTGCAGGTGTGCGATCTGACAAGACACCTCACCAATCAACGATCGAGTCTGAGCCATTAACGGCATCTCATCTACCCTCCAAGTCTTCTCACAAACAGCGAGAAAGTTCTTATACCAGAGATCGAGCGAAGTAACTGGCCTGTATGCGGAGATTCTTGTCAATCATGGCTTCAACCCCTGCAAGGCAGTTTGCTCCCCTCAAGGAGGGTGCAGTCACATCAAATGCTCCTAGATTAAAAGTATGTATATCAGGAAGGACAATTCCTTCGCCATCTATGAGATCTAACAGAACCACCTAGGGTGTTGTCTTTGATGTTGACGGTACTCTTTGGTGAGAGACTTTTTTAACTTTGTCCTTGATATGAGAGGGCCACAATACATAATCCAAAAAAACTTCTCATCTTTTACCTGTGGTAAAAGAACACAAGAACTTTGGGGCAAGCGTCGGTCGATCGTGAGACGATACCACCTCATAATTCATTGAGGTCTTTAAATCCAATCACTACCCTTGCGATACGTTTCGCTGGTTACAGCAAGATTGTAAAACTTCAGCCTGTACAGGTCGACTAACAGCAGTGTAGCCAACCACAAAACTATATGTTTGGGGAGATGCGGGCGGCGCTGGGAATCACAAAGGCCACCGATATCCTGGATCACATCTACTCACTGCCGACGCCCGAGGAGCGGCACGAGGCACAGGAGAAGATCCGGGCGATCGAGCGGCGCGCAATGAAATCACAGCAGGCGCAGCCCGGCCTCGTCGAGCTGATGGACTACCTGGACCGGAAGGGCATTCCCAAGGGAATCTGCACGCGTAATTTCGAGCAGCCCGTCAACCACTTGTTGACCAAATTCCTCGAGGGCAGCGTCTTTGAACCCATCATCACGCGCGACTTCCGGCCGCCGAAGCCAGACCCGGCTGGCATCCTTCATATTGCCCGGTCCTGGGGTTTCACGAAACACGTGCAGAAGAACGGTGATAGTGCGATAACGGGCAGTGAGGTCGACCATGCGGAGATCGAAGCTGAGGCTAAGGAGGCCGGCGAGCCGGCAGAAGAGGCAGACGCCAGCGGCCTGATCATGGTTGGCGACTCTATCGATGATGTAACAGCCGGGCGGAGAGCAGGTGCCGCCACAGTGCTCCTCGTAAATGAGGTCAATGCCCATCTTGCTGAGCACGAGCACACGGATCTAGTGATCAAACGACTGGATGAGCTTATTGATATACTCGAAGAGGGGTTCAAGGGAAGGGAGTACTAAGGCTATTCATTAAGAAGTGATTCGTAGAAGCCGCCCCGATGATGCTCGTGATCTAGAATCCAAACATGCATGCCTAGGATCGAGCAGTGCTTGAGAAGTTCCAAGCAATTGCTGAACATTTGGTTCAGCATTTTATGGGCATGTAGCAGCGACCTATGTCTACTTCGAGAATGCCAAAGGCGCTATCAAGAGCTGCTTATCTTCAACAGTAGTTATCTTCTGTGGAATTGGTAGCACATGCATAAAAGAAAGCATCATCAAGCGAGATCTCAAGAAATAGTCAAGTTGTCTATTGTACGCCACGTGAACAGCAGCTTCCGACATTCATCGATTACATGAGGTTTTCATCAACTCCACAGCATTTCCTTATTTATGAAACTAGCCACTGGAAGCAGCGCCCACGTTGCAGCTTCAAGACAATAGGTTGTGTTTTACTTAAGCCAAAGCATTCGGATAGAGGCTCGCTCTTTCTGTCCATACGTCATAGGATGAAGTCGATGCTTGAGAGACGCGCGGGTGCCGTTGCGCCGGTAAATGCTAAGCGACTGACATGAGGCAGTGAGACCTGACTGTGCAAAAAATGGCGTTTGAGATGATGAAACATGGTCGTAAATAAGAAATGTATTTGAAAATTTTGAAGGGCCGAGGAAAGAAGGAAACCTTGATGTCCCAGTCTTACTTGGCAGGATACCCTGTCCCATAGCTTCCGTTCAGCGGACCGAATGTCGCTTGCCGTCTATACTCTCGTCTGCTTGCCTCATCCGGCGTCTCTTTACGTGGAGGCGGTGGAGGTAACGGGTTACCATGCGGAGCGGGACGTACGGGGAGGGCAAACGTTGCCTTGCTCGCACTGGCCGGGCCAGACAGATCCTGACCGTTCTGACCGGGAACTATCTTGGGTATCGAGTTGGTGGTCGCTACTCGTTGACCTAGTCCCGGATGAACAGCCGATCCACTTGCTCGGCCAAGGCTGCCGACCCCATTTCGCGTCGGGGATCGATTCGATATGCTGCTATATTGGTCACGAGGTGACACGATAGCGCCCACAATGGGGATCTCACCTGACGTGGGCGTCTGCAAAGTACGATCATCCACGTGTGTAATGGTTTGGAAGGTTGGGCTTTCGCCCGAGCGCAAGAGCTCCTGGGTCGCGGGAGAGAGTTGTGGTGCAAGATGAGATTTCCGGTTGTCCCTCTCCATCAAGCTCACTGCCCAGTCTCTCAAGTCCACAGGTGTTCTCTTCGCTGCTTGCACAAACGGGTCTCGGTCCTACACAGTGTCAGATTTTTTCGAGATTGCTTACTACTCTGTGAGTACTTACGAAAAGCTCTTGTGGTGTCGGCCGCTCTTCTGGCGATTTGTAAAGACATTTCTGGATCATATCGTCAAGAATTTGAGGGAAGGCATCGCTCTTGGGTAGCTTAGGCGCCGGCTCGTGTACGATTTGCTGGAGTAAGTCTAGAATTCCAGCTGGCGCACTCTCTGCATCTGACAGCTGTTCACTGGCGGCAAAGGGGAATTTGCCAATAGCCAGCTCCATGATAGTGAGCCCAAAACTCCAAACGTCAGATTTCACAGTATACTTCTCGCCCTGAATTCTCTCTGGCGCCATGTAGGTGGATGTACCGACGAATGTGTCAGCAATAGAGTTAATAAGCTCGCCTGATACACCAAAATCGCATAGCTTGATCGAGCCTCCTGAGTTTACAAGAATATTAGAAGGCTTGATATCTCGATGCATGATGTGATGCTTAGAATAAAGATACGTCAACCCGCCGAGGGTGGCCTCTGCGATCTTGCCTAGGACGTCGACTCGAACGGGGCCGAAGACTCTGGAAACTCTGTCGAGAGAACTTTGTAGTCACCATTAGTGCTCTGATATCACACAGCTTTACGTGGCCAGGTACCTACCCAACATCCATATATTCCATACACATGATGACGTCGTTATTGTCGTTCAGGAAAGCCCCGTAGAATGTCACAATATAGTCGGAGTGACAACTGTGCATGATTTGAAGTTCACGAACTATACGCTTGCGCATCTCTCTCTTCGCCTCGACGTGAATGACCTGCGTATATCAGCATCCATGTTCAACGGAGATAGCCTAGTTGCTATGCATACCTTTCGTGCCATCACCGTATTCGTTGGGATATGCCTGACTTTGCTAACTGTGCCACCATTTCCTGAGCCTAAGTCTTTGAGGAAGTCTAGATCTTCAGGCCGTAAGTCAAGGTTGAACTCGATTCCAATTTCCAACTGCGCCGTTTGATCGTCATCCTTGTCCCTGCCTCGCGGGGCGCCGAAGTTGGCATTCTCGGCAGTTGGTGGAGGTTTGGGAGCTGCGGGAGTCAAGGCGAGACCCTTGACGTTCTTTCGCTTCATAGAGCGAGGCGCAAATGGATCGGCCATGGTGGGCTATTAGGGTCGGAAGAGGACTCGGTATGAACGGGTCGACGGTCGCTAGGATGCTCGGAAAGGGAAGCTAGACGAGGCCAGCTGTCGAAAGATAGAGAGGGCGAATCACATGCCTCTTCGAGCTGAGAGGAGACGAATGACTGATCTCACTGCGCGGCGACGTCGAACAGCGCTGACGATCGATCTAGATAATCGCGGTGTACTGTCAGCTTCAGAAGATTGGAGAATGATGTATGCAATAGACGGTTACCCACCAACTCAAAGCTTGCAACCGTTGCCCAAGTGTGAACCAGCCAGGCCGAGCTCTGAAAGTGCTGGGCAGGGTCCTGATATAGTCGTGCTCTTTAAAGAGAGACGAACAGTTGCGAGTGAGCCACGTAAAGTTGCTGGCGATACCGACTAGTCGTTCCACTCCAAAACGGCGGGGTCGCAACAGCACAAGACAGAAAATTCCAGTCCGCACGAGGTGTGCCTGGGTAGCAGGAAACGGGACGTAGAGAAGCTGGCCGTAGGGGGTTTCGTATCGAGAGAAAAATTTGGAGGTCAGCTTTCCCTTTAGGGAGGAGTGTGCAAGTTGACTGATGCCAACAGGGAGCTTGAGGTGGGGTTGTTTGCGATATACTGTAGAGTCCACCGACTATCCGGGGGTTGGGGGACGGGTTGACGGAGCAAACGACAAAAGGGCCCAGAACAAAGAGGGGCCGTTGGCGGTGGTGACAGCTAAGAGACCTACTCAGAGTACTTTGGGCTCCTTAACTATTCCAAAATACCTCTTCACTTGGGCAGGGTCCGATGGCCGAGGTGAGGTGATTAGGCACAAAATAGACCAGACTGACCGCAATGCGCAAATCGTCACAAAAGATGCGCGAGCGACGCGGATCGGTCTTGAATCAATAGCAGGGTTTTCTCTTAAATCAGGATCCGTCTCCCACTCCCCCCTTGCGTACCTTGACAATGCAGTAACAAGGCGTGGCTTGCGAAACAATCGAACGGTTTGGCCCGCTTGTCTTTGATGGTGGGGATTCAGGTTGTTGCAGGTCGGCTCAGGCGCGTTTTGGATCTCGGGAGGGGCAGCCAGGGTGCTTGCTGCTGCTGCTCAGCGCGAAGCGGCAGCGTCAAGAAAAAGGGTGTGCCCCCTGGTCTTATCTCGATCCTCTTCGATCGTCAACGTTGGGATTTTGCAAGAAGGGTCCGAAATCTGATTAGCCAAGGCTTTGTCCCGGTTTTTCTGAAGAAGTACGTGGTCTATATAGCTCAAGCTCGCCAGGCTGCCAGCATTTTCCAAGGTACCTAGGTAGGTCATTGCGCATTCAACGAAAAGGGGCAGCTTTGATCACAACCTCACAGCTAGAAGACCCCTATTGGCATCCCAGTAGATTGCCATGTACCAAGGCGCCGTAGCAACAAACCGAAATCGCAAACTCATCAGTACCAAAACGGAGCTGGCGTCTCATCTTGGGCTACCAGCCGTCATTGGCTGCCCAGTTCGGTGCCTTGGCTTGCCAGTGGGAACTGGATGGCTCCCAGCGGCCCATCGAGCAACCTAGCTGGCTGCCCAAGCGCGGAGCCTGCTGGGTCACTTCTCAGTTGGCAAATATCACTCGTAAATATCCAATTGCGGACCAGTTATAGAGCCAGGCCATGCAGCATCAAGATGGAAGCCACCTAGCTATAGTTGCATAGGCTGACTGACTAAGGATTTGACACAAGTATGTCATTCTGCATTACTCCTCTGCCAGGGAAATAAACATAAGTTCATTAAGGGTATTATGGCCTTTCAAGAAGGCAGTTACCGCCTTTTGAAGTTGGTGGAGCTACAGTAGCAAGCAGAATCTTCGATACCGCAAATAAGTATCTGGCCACTTCTGGTTCAGTCTGATTGTCGTTAACGTTTATCACCTTGGTGGAGGAGTAACATAGGATAGATATAGGATAGATCTGGATGAGGTAGGGCTCAAGGGATGAATATGATGGCGGCAGCAATTTCCATCATTGCTATGGGGCCCGTCTAGACCTCCTTGACTACAAATGGATCAGAGAATCTTCCTATCTAGAGTTGAAATGTGACGCAGTTGCTTGTAAGAGATGATTCACTTGATAGCAACTTCCTGCTTCCGGTATAACGTGCTTGTAAAGAACAAAGGGAAGAAATGCTACAGTAAATATCATCAATTATTCATACTGTAACAAAGCGCCGATAGGACACCTCTTCAAGACGGTGTGAAAACAGTGCCAGTAGCAGCCACACTTCCAGCGACGTGCACGGGCCTTTGGTGGACAAGGCACGAGGCTGAAATTGATCGGCGGCGCGCGTTGCACTTCGTGGTTTCTGTACTCAAAAAATCCAACCCCAAGCTTCGGAACCTCAGCCTCAGGCCGAAGCTCCGCCTAAAACAACCCGACCTCGGTGGCTTCAATATCCAATCCACATCTCACCTTGGCCATCGCCTTCCCATTCGCGATCAATCAAGTCCTGCGCACCTTGGCGATCACTCCTACAGAGCTCACAAAGCACTGTACTGCCAAGGCGCATTCCTGAACAAAGGCAGCTGCTTGTTGCGAAGATAAACAGGCAGCATCATGAGTGGAACCACTAGAGATTTGCTCGACCTCGACGCCGAGCTCGACGATGAGGAAGATGACGAGTCCTTCGATGAAGAGACCGGCGACTCTCGCAGGAGGGAGCGTCCCAATCGGATGGACGATTCGAGCGAGGAGGAGGAAGACGATGATGACGAAGAGGAAGCTAGAAAGGTGAGTCCATAGCTCTCAAGCCCCATCCTACACTACAATCGAATAATGACTCACATCACGAGGGAGCAGGTCCGTGAAGGATTCATCGTTGACGAGGATGAGGAAGAGGACGAGGCCGAGAACTCGGATGAGCGCGAGCGAAGGAAGCGTCGCAAGCGTCGCCGCGCCGAACGCGAGGAGGAGGCACAACTTGACGAGGAGGATCTCGATCTGATTGGTGAAGCTCATCCCGATTGGGAGCGCAAGCAAGCACAACAGGTATGTTGGCGACTTCGGCTACCTCACGAACCTGCTACTAACTCGAATCACCAGACCAAGTTCAAGCGCCTCAAGCGTGGCCACCGTGATGAGGACGATCGACCGACCGAGCGCCGTACCCTCCAGGAGATCTTCTCTGATGACGAAGAGGAAGGCGATGAGCGTCCCTACGGACGGCCCAGCCACCGAGCCCAAGCTGACGAGTTTGATGATTTCATCGAAGAAGACTTTCCCGAGGATGAGGATGAACGTATCAGACATCAAGAGGATCTCGAGGTCGCCCGTCCACGCGACAAAGGACTTGTCGGTAGCGTCGTTGATACTACCGGGCTCGATAAAGATGCGCTTGAAGACATGGAGGCCATCTTCGGCAATGGCGAGGACTACGAGTGGGCACTACAAATGGAAGATGAAGAGGAAGACCGTGAACGTGAAGAACAAGTCATAGAGCTCAAGGATGTCTTCGAACCGTCGCAGCTTTCGGAGAAGCTACTGACTGATGAAGACAACGAAATCCGCTTTACGGATGAGCCCGAGCGCTTCCAATTGGATCGCAAACCTTTCAAAGATCTTCAGCTCTCGGCAGAACAGTTTAAGGAGGAGGCCCGGTGGATTACGAGTCTGATTTGGCCCCGTAAACAGCTCGCTTCTGATCTTCATGCTCCTTTCACGAAGGCTATTGGCAAGGTGCTCGAGTTCTTCATCATAGATGATGTTGAAGTCCCCTTCGTCTTTCAGCATAGAAAGGATTATCTCATTCATGCGAAAAAGACAAGAAATCCAGATCGAGACCGGGACGACCCGGATGCCCCTGAGTTCATTGTCAACGCGGAGAAGCTTTTGACTCAGGATGACCTGTGGCGTATCCTTGAACTTGATATAAAGTTCCGCGGTCTGGTTGAAAAGCGAAACGCTTTGGAGAGAATGCGCCAGAATCTCGAGTCTATTGATATCCGAGATGATCTTCTGGAGGAGATGCTCCCTCAAGCAGCTACCATGGAAGAATTACAGGATCTGCAAGACTATGCCAATTTCCGATACGCCGCCCAGCTCAAGGATATTGCTGCCATGGGCGGTGCAGCGAAGGAGATAAAACGCCCTGGCGCAAAGTCCTCTCTATTCGAACGGATTCGCAAGGGCAAGGTGTATAACTTCGTTCGAGCGTATGGTATCACGCCAGAGCGCCTCGCACAGAATGCCCTGCGCGAAGGCAAGAAGGTCTCGGCCGATGATGATTCACGTCTTCCAATCGATCTTGCCGACAGCTTAACTGACAGCGATTTCCCGACTGGGGATTCCGTTATTGGCGCCGCCCGTCAGATGTATGCGGAGGAGCTGTTTGCCAGCCCCAAGATGCGAAAGCACTTCCGAGTTCACTACTACAACATGGGCTGGATCAGCTGTCGCCGTACGGACAAGGGCCTTCGAAAGATCGATGAGGCTCATCCTTACTATGAGATTAAGTACCTCATAAACCAGACGATTCCTGATCTGGCTCGCCGGCCCGACATCTTCCTCAAGATGATGAAAGCAGAAGAGGAGGGTCTCGTTGAGGTCAAACTGACTCTGCAGAATGAGCGGGATTTTCGACGTCAGCTTTACAATGAGTTTGCTTCCGAAAACTACAGTGACCTTGCCGATGCTTGGAACCTAGAGCGGCAAAAGGTGCTGGACGCCGCCTTCTTAAAGCTAGAGAAGGTCGTCACCAAAGGTGTTAAGGATTCACTCCGAACTTCCTGTCAGGAAGAACTCCTCAGAGCATGTAGAGAGGAATATTCCAAGCGTCTAGACCAGGCGCCCTATAAGCCGAAGGGCATGGTTCTCGGCACTACTCCTCGTGTACTTTCATTGTCCAATGGAATGGGCGACCCGAATCGTGACCCAATTTGCTGGGCTTGGGTTGAAGAAGACGGCCGAGTTTTGGAGCAAGGCAAATTTGGCAATTTGGCACGAGATGAGGCTCAGCGAGAGGCATTTGTCGAACTTGTGAAGCGGCGCAGACCCGATGTCATCGGTGTCAGCGGCTTCTCGGCCGATAGCAACAAATTGGTCAAAGATTTGGAAAATCTCGTCAACGAGAAGGGTCTCATGGGTCCTGAATACGATGACCCTGATACCGGCGAATACCGCAGCGATCTCTTAGAAGTGGTGATCGTCAACGATGAGGTGGCCAGGCTTTATCAGAACAGTCCACGGGCCGTTGCCGACCACCCTTCTCTTGCTCCTCTGACTAGATACTGTGTGGCTCTGGCAAGATATCTGCAGAATCCCATGAAGGAATATGCGGCTCTTGGAAAGGACATTACGACTCTGTCTTTCCATGCTTGCCAGCAACTCCTACCTCAGGACAAACTTGCAAAGCACCTAGAGACAGCGATGGTGGACATGGTCAACCTCTGTGGTGTTGACATTAACGAAGCCGTCAGCGACTCTTACACTGCCAATCTACTGCCATACATTGCTGGTTTGGGACCACGCAAGGCCACGGCTGTCATCAAGGGCATCAATGTCAACGGTGGAGTTGTCAACTCCAGAGATGAGCTTGTTGGAGATCCGGATAGTGGAAAGGTGCCCGTGGTGGGGCCCAGAGTCTGGAATAATTGCGCCAGTTTCTTATTCATCGAGTACGATGCGACAAACCCCTCCTCAGATCCGCTGGACAACACTCGTGTGCATCCAGAAGACTACGAACTTGGTCGCAAGATGGCTGCCGATGCACTTGAGCTTGATGAGGAAGACGTCAAGGCCGAGACTGACGAGAATGGCCCTGGAGCCATCGTTCGCAAGCTGTTCAAAGAAGATGAGCAGGAAAAGGTCAATGAACTCATCCTCGAGGAGTATGCGGAGCAGTTGGAAACTCAGTGGAGTCAACGTAAGCGAGCAACTCTCGAGACGATCAGAGCCGAGTTGCAAGCACCATATGAAGAATTGCGGCGCAATTACTCTCCTCTCGGGGCAGAAGAGGTTTTCACCATGTTCACTGGCGAGACGAAGGATTCATTAGCTGAAGGCATGATCATTGCTGTCAATGTTCGTGTCGTCAAGGATGATTTTGCAATCGTGAAGCTGGACTGCGGCATAGAAGGTCGTATCGAGGCCCACGAGGTGTCATACCGCACGTCTATCAAAGAGATTCTCCATGTTGGACAGACGGTGCAGGCTAAACTGATTGAAATCAGCCGAAAGGATTTCCTTGGTAAGCTGTCCATGAGGGAAGATGTTCTTCGACGGCCGTACAGAAAGCATCTTGATCATGACCGCAGCAACTGGGACTTCCCACTGGAGGACCAAGATAAGGAAGAGCTCAAGGAGAAGGACAAGATCACCGGACGTACGCAGAGGGTTATCAAACATCCCATGTTCAAACCGTTCAACTCAGTCCAAGCTGAAGAGTACCTCGGATCACAGCCATCCGGTGAAGTCGTCATTCGACCTTCTTCAAAGGGCAACGACCATCTTACTATCACCTGGAAGGTCGCAGATGGTGTCTACCAACACATCGATGTGCTTGAACTGCAAAAGGACAATGAATTCTCCGTTGGCCGGACTCTACGTATCGGTGGCAAGTACACTTACACCGATCTGGACGAGTTGATCGTCGAACATGTCAAGGCAATGGCAAGAAAGGTGGATGAACTCATGCAACATGAGAAGTTCCAGAAGGGCTCCAGAACCGACCTGGGTAAGTAATCCTTACAATCTCGAATATGGCCGGGTGACTGATTAGATTTGCAGAAAAATGGCTTACCACCTACATGGATGCCAACCCCAACCGCTCAACATATGCCTTCTGCATTGACGCAAAGCACCCGGGGTATTTCTGGCTGTTATTCAAAGCCAACCGGACTTCCCGCGTCAATGGCTGGCCAGTGCGTATCATCCCAGGCGCGTACGAGTTGATGAAGAGCCAGTATCCCGATATGCGGGCTCTCACCAACGGCTTCAAGCTCCGCTACCAGAGCGAGCTGGTCAAGATGCAGACGAACGGAAGATGATTCTAAACGGAGATTGCAATAATTGCTCTTGCTGTACCATATACATGTAGTAGATAGGGCCAAACGGCAGTTCTTTTGGAGAATGGACCTCTCGGCAGCGGCAGATTGATGGAGAGCAGCCGATGGCCTTTCTGGCCTGCGGAACGGGGAAAATCATATGCATAGAGACGACAAGGTAGACGAAAATCTTAAAGCATCTTCACTGATCATTATGGATCCTGGAGCCATTCTACGTGACATTGATGGCTTGCTTGACGGAGGTCAGCAAATTTTGTCACGAGTGATGAGTCTTGGGTCAAGTCGCTCAGTTGCTGATGCTTGACCAAAAATATGCCTTCAGGTCATCCCAAGAACCCGTGCGGCGGAACTTAGCGGAGGCGAGAAGCTCTAGAAATAGATCCAGCTAAGCTTACAAGAGACATATCTGCATGACGATGGCTTCCATAGCAGCCGAGCGAGACGATTAAGGCCCGTAAATAAGTCGTCTTGGCATTACTACCCTGCTGCTGTAGGCGGGTCACAGGCCGGTAAGGCTGGGCGGTTTAGGCCCTCTGGCTGTTCGTGTAGCTATCAGCTGGCGCGCGGGGGCGTGGACAGGACGGAACCCCGGTGACAGCGAGTGCCCGGAGCAGCCGCGGCTGAGAACCTTGGAAAGGACACCTGCATATTTACATTGATGCTGCCTTAGAACCCTCACTGTGCCTTATTATTGCCGCTGTTCGGAACGACTGCCCAGATTCAAGGAAGGGCTACATCTCCCTCTACAAGCAGCGTGTTTGCGCGTTGGACACTCTTTTGTGGCTGGGCAACGAGCGCAGTCCAGGTCCCTTTTCACTAACAGGTAATTGCGACACGCTGCCCGAATACGTGGCCCGGACGAATCCCTTGCAAGGCCCGTTTACCAGGGTCCACGCTTCCGCCTCGATTCCAGTTTCGCGACGATTACACAACCTCGGACGATGGGACTTGCTGACTACTGAGGTGCCCTACGTTCTCCGATCCTCAATTCCACAATTCTGACGCAGGACCGGCACCATGGCGGGCATCGAGCAGTTGGAGATACACAGCAAGGTACAGTGCTACCAATCCCTCCCCGGAAGCTGTCACCCCTTGGTTTTGGAACTTCTGCGCGATGAATCATGGTTGGGGCAAGCTGCTGACTGCGCGAGTGTCTATATAGTCCTACATGCTACGCTGGGTCAAGGTTGACGATGGCCATACTCTGTCCTGGAGCGTCCAGCCTCACAAGAAATCTATGTACGTTCTTCCCTCTCCATGCGTAGCATGACGCGGCACTGACGTGCGCTCTAGCAACTTCGGCATCGTGAAGCACCCGGGTAGCGGTAGCACCAACCTCACAACGAACCAGATAAATGATGGATCGACCGATCAAGTCGAGGGCACGGGCGAAGTCAAGACGGGCCTCTTCACAAAGAAGGATAGCAGTAGTAGCAGTACGGCGCAGGAGCAACTATCGAAGAAAGGCTTCATAATAGTGAAATGGCATGGGAAGTGCGAGGCCGACAAGGTGTCCATGGGGACGTATGACGTCCAGCCGGGCCAGGGCGGCATGTTCGGCCTGATATTTGACAACACTTTCTCGAAGCAGATCTCCAAGACCGCCACATTCGTCCTCTTAACCTATCCGACCGGCGCACCACCTCAGACTGCTCACCACCTCCCGAACCTTCAAGCTGGACCGAACGCGAGCACGAGCAGAACGAGCCTGGGGAAGCATAGCAGCCCCCGGTTAGGCGCAACGGCAGCGGAGTCGGTAGACAGTCTTCACAGTCATCCGGCTGGTGGGAAAGCCGGTTCCGTGGCGGGGCGCAGTGAGGCCAGTTCCTCGACAAACTACCACGTAGGTAGTTTGTTGAAGAGACGACGGAAGAGAGGACAGGGCTACGCGCGTAGATACTTCTCCTTGGACTATGCGACATGCACTCTCTCATACTTTCACAATCGCAACTCCTCCGCGCTCAGGGGTGCCATTCCTCTAAGTCTGGCAGCCGTGGCTGCAGACGAAAGGCGACGAGAAATCACCATTGATTCCGGTGCGGAAATATGGCATCTCAAAGCGTCCAACGATAAGGAGTTCACCGAGTGGGCGCGTGCTCTCGAAAGATCAAGCCGGATAGCTCGGGGCCTCGAATTCATAAAAGAGCCTTCCATTGTGAAACGACAGGTCACACGCTCTTTCCTAGCGCCCCCGAACACCCAGCAAGAGGAAAACCGGGAATGGGAGCAGGTCGAGAACCTTGTCAGTAGGGTGGTTGGCACACGGGATGCGCTGCGCCGTATGGTTAAGGACATGGCTGCGCAAAAGCATGCACACCCTCACACATCCTACCTGTCTCCTGGAACTCCTGCCATGTCAGATGAGTCGTCTGATTACTTCACTCCCGTGGCAGAACGACGGCCATTCTGGAAACGGAAATCGAGCGCATCCCTGACGCCACAAGCATTGAGTCCCTCCTTGTCATCTGCCTTGGCAGTCCCAACGCCGAGCACTGTTACCACTATTAGTTCAAATGGACCAAGGGATAAGAGGAAATCAAGGGGCGCCATTGAGGAGGAACGGACTACCCATGACCACTGCTCGGCCCTGCTGAACGATCTAGATGCAGTAGTGACCGAGTTCACAGCACTGCTAGCCAACAGCAAAAGGAGACGCATGCCCGTTGCCGGATCGGCCACTTCGCGGAAGAGTTACGAGTCGACGTCAACTACTGAGGAGTTCTTCGATGCCGAGGCAGGCGAAGGCCTTGATCGATCACAATTACTCGTCATTGATCACCACAGCGAAGAAGAAACTCCAGTCTCAGATGTGGACGAAGCATCCATTCATGATAACTCGTCAGTCTCTTCTGTTGAAGACGATGAAGACGGTAGCGGAGCGGACGCTGCAAACAACCTCTATCCGCCAAAACCGAAATCCTTGGCTCCTCTGCCCATCACTAACGACATCTCACGACGCACCACTATCCCCCCTGCTACGGTGCTTCCTCCTAGTCTGATCGCGTTCGTGCGCAAGAATGTGGGTAAAGATCTGTCTACTATCAGTATGCCAGTATCAGCAAACGAGCCAACATCGCTTCTTCAAAGAGTGGCAGAACAGCTCGAATATGCGCACCTGTTAGACTCTGCTACAAAGCAGAAGCAGGCAAGCCGTCGTCTTCTCTATGTAGCGGCGTTCGCCGTTTCTCAGTTCAGTGGCGGACGCGCCAAGGAACGAGCGATTCGCAAGCCTTTCAACCCACTGTTAGGCGAGACCTTTGAGCTTCTACGAAGCGAGACAGAAGTCCCGGGTGGCATGCGTCTCCTTGTTGAGAAGGTATCACACCGCCCCGTGCGGCTTGCCATCCAGGCCGATTCTGCATCTTGGTCGTTTGCACAGTCGCCTTGCCCTATGCAGAAGTTCTGGGGCAAGAGCGCAGAGCTCACGACGGATGGCCGGGTGCGCGTCTCGCTGAGGTTACCGGATGGTACCGAGGAGCGATATAGCTGGACTATTGCCACGGTTTTCCTCCGCAACGTGGTAATGGGTGAGAAATATGTAGAGCCTGTGGGAACCATGTACGTCAACAATGATAGCTCGGGAGCCAAGGCTGCCATTGAGTTTCGCTCCAAGGGCATGTTTGGTGGCCGAGGGGAGGACGTCCAAGTCGACGCGATCGGACCTGACGGCTCCTCCGCTGGGCTGTCACTAACTGGCACATGGACAAACTCGTTGAGACTCGTTGAGAAAGGCTCATCATCCGGCGATGAGATCTGGCGCGTCGGCAAGCTAGTCGAGAACGCTGCCGACGTATACGGCATGACGACTTTTGCTGTGATGCTGAACGAGATCACTGAACTAGAGAAGGGCAAGCTTCCGCCGACCGATACGCGCTTACGCCCGGACCAGCGCCTCGCTGAGGCGGGCAAGCTGGACGAGGCTGAAGAGTGGAAGAAGCGTCTGGAGGAGGCACAGCGGCATCGACGGCGGATCATGGAGGAGAAAGGCGAGGAACACCGCCCACGCTGGTTCGTAAAGGTCGGCACAAGCCCGGACGGCGAAGAGGTTTGGCGCTTGAAGGGTGGGAAAGAAGGTTACTGGGAGGAGCGCGCCCGCGGCCAATGGAACGGCATAGAGGAGATCTTCGCCGATTAGTGGAATAGTTCAGCTTGTTTGTTTGTTTGCCATATAGACGGTATAGCGAGGCTCGTTTGCTTCAAGAGGAGTTGGCAGTATCGCACACTTGCATACAGGAAAAGTTCAGTAACATAGAGGCTACTGTTTGCAGGGAGGTTAGGCTACCTTTGAATACAACATTTACTTTGTTGCTTCATCCAATTTATCTTTCCTACCCCAGTCTGCACTGCCAAAGCCAATTACAAGAGTGTTATAAAATTCAAGACAATTGTTCCAGCAATATAGCCGCTGTATGAACCAGGGGGAAAGGGGCGTAGGTGCGAAAAGAAGAAATCACTGTGAAGGCGCACTGTGCTTATCGATAACAAAAATGTCGTCTCTTCAGAACGTCGAAATCTCGACCAGTCGGCCGCTCAACTTTGCGCCGAACTTTGAAAGCCTGTGCTTACACAAAAGGCACCTTAAGACACCGACGACAGCGCAATGTACAGCTCATAGCAAATGTCCCTGGGAATCAAGCTGTCATGGAGAGCCCGTTCGATATCGATTGGGCTCTCCTTGATTCCCAGGGAGCTCTTCCTCCATTCCGCTCATCCACACTCAATTCTACGCACCATACCATCAGCCCGGCTCTATTCAATGGCAGAAGGTGAGGAAGCGCCTTCAGTTCCCGGTTCGTCTCGAGAGCGATCAGCCAGAATTCGAAAGGTGGACTCGAGTATCTCAGATGAGGATGCAGCCGACGCCGCGGTCCTTCGCCTCGGCCAGAGCAAGTCCGTCCTGGTTGAGCCCTCCTACATGTATCCCAGCAAGGCCGAGACGGACCGCAGCCAGCGGCGGCACCACCAGAGCGTCACGCAGCAGATGCGCCTAGAGCAAAACCGTGTTCGGCAACGCAAACCGCTGCCCGATTGGCGTGTCATCCTCCAGCAGCTAACGGCATGGACCCCCGAGCGGTCCGACGATTGGCAAGCCGACGCCGTCAAGATCATCCTGCCCAAGGAGACTGCAAGCGAGATGCTGTCCGGTGTCGATAATAACATATGGGCAATCAGGCGTCGGACAGGTTGTGCAATGAAGCTCTTCCAGAACGATGGGGAGGATGGCTCGTCTTCAGTCGTTCTCTCCGGCTCTGAAGTGTCGCTGAACAAGGCTGCGGAGGAGATTCTGCGTGTGGCTAAGAAGGCTACTATAATACGACTACCTCAAACACCAGAGAAAGCCGACCAGGATATGGACGAGAAGGACGGACCTACAAGCCACGTCGCATCGAAGAGCAAGGCTGTTATCAATGCTCCCTGGCGGGAAAATGGGCATCTTACACGCCCATATACCCTGAAAGGAAGTGTGAATGACATTGCAAAACCCTCAGAATGGACGAAGGAGTCGTTCGAGATGTATGTTTCAGCATTAGTGAACGCCCGTGTTCCAAATCATCTACTATCGAAAGCCTACCCCTACGGTGGGTCACACGACAAGACCGTTATTTCCCTCCTGCACACCGTCTTCAATGACGATGCTACACGCTCTGCCCTCTCCACCTCCGCTTTCAAGCTGGCCCTCGCATTCATGTGCCGCAAGGGCCACCCCTACCGGCCCGACGCGCGCGCCCTCTTCGTCCGGATGGAGCAGTTCGGCTTGCGCATGGACACGGAGGTCTTCAATATCCTGCTCCAGTCCACAGTGAAGGTCAAGGACCTGCGAAACTTTGACACGACGATGCGCCTGATGGTCGGCCGGGGCCACGCGCCTGATCTCGCCACGTGGGTCCTCTTCCTGCGCATCATTCACAGCGAGGACGTCAAGCGCTACATTCTGCACGCCATGGCCACCAAGGGTCTGCTGCGCACGCAGTCCGCCCTCCGGCGCGTGGCCAAGGAGCTCGCGCCGCACGACGCCGACCGGGCCGTCGCCCAGGGGAAGGGCCTGCAGGCCTTCATGGCCGACCAGGAGGCGCGCTACGGCGCCGGCTGGCTCACGCGCGACGCAGGCAACCGCATCATGGACGTGCTGGGCCGCTTCGGGCGCTTCGACGACTGCCTCGCCCTGCTGGACATCATGGCGACGGCCGGGCCGGCAGCGCGCCCCGACATCGTGACCCTTAACACGATCCTCACGCACGCCAAGGTCCGCGGCAGCATGCGCGTGGCCGCCGACGCGCTGCGCAAGGTGGAGCAGCTGCAGACTCTCACGGCGCGGTCACGCGTGCTCCCAGATGCGATCACGTACCACCTACTTTTCGAGATGGCGTGGAAACGGCGGTTGCCGCACGCCATCGGCGTCGTGTGGCGGTACGCAGCCCTCGCGCGCCTAACGAGCTACCGCATGCGCCGGCGCGCGTCCCAGCTGCTTGCGGGCGAGCTCTCACCATCTACGATGAAGAAGCTCGGCCCGCTAGCAGGCGAAGACGCCGCAATAGGTGGTGCTCTTGTCGATAGCAAGACGCTGGAAGCGCTCGTCGCGAGCAGCGACGACCGCGACAAGGCCCTACAGAATATGGGCGCTGCGGTCAGCGAGTGGTACCAAGAACAGTATCGTCACTGGGAACCAGACGTAAATCTGGGGACCATGCTCGGTGTTGCCATGGAGCGGGACTTCGAGGCTCTAGAGGGCGGCCGGGATGGGAAGAACAAGGCGGAGGGTTCGGAACTGGTGCAACAAAAGCCATTGACACTACAATTGAGACCAAGAGTGGAAAGGGATGCGCTCCCTGCGCCTTCTCGCCAGCAAAATGTAGGTGGAGAAGGTCATACCCTCAAGATACAGAGGACACCAACGGGGAGCAGACGCCCCCTTATATAGAATAATATGCTCAGGAATCTTCACTTTGTAAACTATCAGGCATCTTGCCGTAGAGAATTGGACTCCGTTCTGTAAGAATCTAGATACAGACTTGATTGGCTCGTCCATGCCACGGAAAAACCTAGGTACACAATATTAGTACGATGGACATACACGTCCCAATATGTATCTATCGTTTCTTCACTCCAAGTTTGAGAATGTTGTGTGGAAATAATGAGGTATACCGGTATATAATGAGCTGCATGCAATCGGGATTCAGAACGTGTTATTTTGTAGCTCTCCTGGGGTTTCGAAAAGGAAATCAAATCAAAAAGGGAGTCCTGATGCACGCCACTCGGCGTCGGCAGAACTCCAGGATATCAATGTCAAGCTTTTGGCGTTGGAAAGGGGGGAGGATTCCATAACCACCACCAGATGAATCATCTTCCGTCTTCACTGTCCATTTGTCCTTACTAACCAACCGTCGTTCCATCTAAAAGGTCTCTGATTCAAAGCATAGGTCTCTGTCTTCGGTTCTGTTCAGGTAGCCAGTAGCAAGCAAATTTGCACACTTTCCGCCTAGATGATGGTGATGAGCTGACTTCTCAGGGCAAATGGGAGAGGATAAGAAAAACAAAAGCTTTCAAATAACTACAGCCCCTTTCTAGTCCCACAATGTGTTCCAAACAACGGCCATCAAACTCATTTGCTTCGTTTCATGATCTCTAGCCCTGAGCCTATCCGAAGCCCCAAAGCTGATGCAATCCCTCTATGCTGTTGCGGGATGCTTTTTGACAAGCTGACAGTAAGGGGTAGAACAAGTCGTGTGCAGTGACACCATACACCCATACGGAGAAAACCATTACTCGTCCCTGTCCTCAGCCATTATCGCCTGAAAGTTGGCACAGAGGCCAATTGAGCCCCCAGACATATCCGTTGTTCATTAGCTTTAAGCCTTCTTTTCCTCAGCTGCCTCTTCGGCAGCCTTTGAATCAGGCTTTGACTCGGATTGGGAAGCGGCGGGCGGCGGGTGCTCCTTTTCGGGCGATACGGCGGCGGCGATTTCGGACGCTTTCGTGGCGAGATCGAGTTTCTCCGGGGTCGTGGGGCTGCCGATGACTTCCTCGTCGCCATCATGGGCAGTAGACGAGCCCTTCGAGACCTGGCTCGCAAGGTCTTTGTCCTCCTCCGCGTTATCGAACATCTCCGTGTCGTCTGAATCGGTTAAAACTTCGGTTCCATCTCCAAGGAAAATAATTCGACCCCTGTACCCACCAATGCCAAAGTTCTTGGACTTGTGGTCCATGTCAACGTCATAGCCGCTGTCACTATCATCGAAGTTATGGTGAACGCCAGGGCCCCGGAATTCAGCTAAATTGGGAAAATCAAGATATCAGCTTCATGCGCCTCTAGAGAAAAGCAAATACAGTCCAGACTTCAAGATTGCGTACCATATTCGGGAGGAGCGCAGGGACCGTCGCCATTGGCAACTCTCCTGGCGATCTCCTCGTACCACTCCTCCTTACTCCGACCTCGCAAGAAACCGACAATGATCATGGTCATATTGTCACAGCCAACGCCCCCGGTCTCCGAGTTCGAAGCAAGACAATTGTCCATCATATTCTCGCAAATCTTGTCTAGGTCTTGCTTAGCTGCAATGCCACGTCGGACAAACTCGACGACTGCCTGGTTCGATTGGCAATCCCAGATACCTAGGAAGCTCATTAGCATGATAAGCCACTGTATCAGCAGACAAGGCGTTACTGACCGTCACAAGCAATGACAAGGAACTCGTCGTCGTCGCCCATGTCATGAATAACTACGTCAGGGTACGCTGTGACAATTTGTTGCTCAGGAGCCAATTCGGCGCTCTTCTTGAACTCGAAGTCGCCGATAGCTCGTGAAAGAGCAAGGTTTCCATTGACTCGTCCAAAGTCGACGAAGCCACCAGCGGCAGTAATTCGTGCCTTCTCACCTAATGGCACACAGTCCTGTCAGTGTAACTGCCTCAAACGAGAAGCGAAGAGGGCTAGCTCACCCTCGTTCTGAGGCTTGTGGTCGAACGACAGAGGCTTTGCGCGACCCTTGACGCCCAGAACACTTCTGGAGTCTCCGGCATTGGCCTGGATATATCAAATTAGAACGAAGTCGCTCTCAACGAGTAAACAGATGAACCAACAATGAAGATCTTCTCGCCCGTGATAAGTCCGACACATGCCGTGCATCCAGAAACCTCCTCCTCGTACTTCGGATCTGTTCAACTCGTCAGTCGCCCGTTGTGGTATTTCCCAGCACACAGAAGGGTATATTCGATCGCACCGTTCAAAATCGCGCGGTCAGTCGCGAGAAAGCCGTCCTTCAAGGCTTGCTCGTAGTTGCCGGCCTTGAAGGTATCCTGCTTCGCAATGATGTTGTGGATATTGTCACCGGCGAAAAGCGCGACTTTGTCACCGCCGTGGCCGTCAAAGACGCCGAAGAAGGAAAGTCTCGATGAATGCTGCTTGGCTGCCTCCTCGTTGGAGGCGAGTAGATCTAGAACTGTAGTGTGCGCATCTTCCATGCTAATCCGCCAGCCTTGCATGGCCGACACGCCATAGATTAACCGGTCGTCTTCGCCATTTGCAGATGCCTAGAGGTAGAAAGCAGATCCGATTAGCGATCTGGAGCAATATTGGGGTATGCGAGCTGCCATAGGGAAGAGGTAGGTCGAGCTCAGGGCGGGGGGACAAGATGAGGCACGCGGGGAACATGGGTCACGCGAAGTCACTATCCAGGTCTCCAGAGGCATCGATCAATTCCTAACCGTTGGCGCAGATAGCCAACATGAAGGCCGAACAATTCAGCGGCAAGCAGTCGCGTGCAGACGGAGAGGGAGGTAGAGCGACCATGGGTATGGAATAGACAAGGCTCGGCTCACCTTTTCGACAACTGGCTCGGAAAGAGTCTGACCCATGGTGATGATGTCAAGGTGTCAGCGCGGACAGTGGCAGCAACAAGGCTACCGAGGAATGGAATTGCTTCGAAGCTGGTGTAAGCTTGTGAGGCAAGGAAAAGTCAAGTGAGTTCAGGAAGGTCGGTAGGTTAGAGAGGAAGAGATTTCTGCTTGGGCGAGGTCGACAATGACGATGGGAGAGTGTGACTTGGGATTGGTCGGTTGGTCGGGAGAGGAAGGTAGGTGTAGGTAGAAACGGTGCCTCGTTGCTTCCTGTTCAGATTTGCTCTGCTAGCGTATTGTGTAGTCTACTATGTAGTGTGGTGTGGTAGATACCTGGTAGTGAGTGACGGATATGGCAGTGTCTTTGGCGCTGGTGCTGGTCCACGGTTGTATGGTCAGCCACCCAGTCAGACAGACGGCAAAGAGAGGGAACGGGCACAGCAGACGAGAAGAGTAGAGCAGAGCAGAGCAGAGCGGGAGAGCGGGGTAGGTAGATAGGTACTCGCTGAACTCGGGAGGGCGAACGGGGCAGGCACACCTCGCTCAGACTGGCGCGCAATTTGCAGTACAGCGCACAGTACTGCATAGTAACAGCAGGCAAGGATTGCTGCACAGGCCAACAGCTGCGTCACCACTGAGCCCTGATATAGCGGGCGCTTAGAGGGGCTTTTAACGAAGACGGTAAAGTAATCAACACATTTGGCATGAGCTCACCACATAAGGCCGCCGGAATGAATGGCAGAGTGCGATGAGGCTCTCCAAGATGCCTGCCTAGGTGTCTACCTAGATGCACTACCATCGGCGAAGAATCTGCCCAGCATGATGATGCAAACTCGGAAAGAGCAAGAAACGAATGTGTTCAAGTGCTACCCTGGAAGGAAGGAAGTGGAATAACTGCGCGCATCTAGACCACGCGCTGATTTCACATAGGTAACCTACAAACGGGTGTACGGGTAGGGAGGGGGATAGGTCCGCATTCTGCAGGCGACAGACAGCCTGCCTGGTCCTACATAGTACTCGTCCCTCACGGTCGTTCCTTCCTTGTTCCAGATCGCCATCCAGAGAGTCATATAGCCCGAGACCCAGTTCAAATCAATTTTGCTCAACATTCAAACGACCTGGAAGTCAACCAGCCAGTCAGCCAGTCAGTCAGTCAGTCAGATCAGTCAGTCAGTCAGATCAGTCAGTCAGGGATTTTGGTCGGGCAGTTTTGCGTGGTCGCGTGCTGGGCCTTAACTGATCTGATGTTAGCTGCACCTATTAAGGCAGGCTAGACCAGGTAGCACTCCCTTAGGCTTGCGCTGCTTTGGTTGGTGCATCGGATCAGCACAGAGGCAATGGATCAGGCCGATTGTGCGGGAGGGCGCAAGATGGCAAATGATGTCGACAGACCGCCCCTCGACTGACGCTGGCCTTCCCTTTGCTTATTGAGCATCAACGATGCTCAACGCACGGACCATGAAACATAGGATGATATCCTCAATGACTGGGCCTCGCTCCTATCGTGCTGCCATTCAGATCCAAACATGCTCGCTGAAACATATAAGAATATCGTCATCAAGTAGTGACTCTCTGGGTCGATTCGGGTGAAGACATGCCAGCGATGGAGTACTCATCTCACGGCGGAACACGGCCATATGAGAAGACCATTTGGGGTCTCCTTCACTGTTAACGACGGCGATACTACTACCAGGGTATATTATGCAAAACAACTAGACTAGCTACAAAGTTCTCATAATCTGATGCTATATCCAAACACCCAACTACCGTATGATGCTCGCAAGATTAAACAAGACTAAATCCCTCTAAATGTAAACAGCGTAATCGTCCTCGTCCCCCCGGCTCGATCCACTCAGACTCAAGCTGTCCCCTCGCCCCTGATGCGTGCTGTAATTCTCCTTTTGTGCATCATGATGGAGCGAACTCTGTGTCGTGTTCCATGTCACAGCATGCCCAATGCCGCTCCTACCAGCAGTATCTCTCTGGCTTGAGGCGGTGCCCAAAGGTTCTCGCCACTTGTTCGGCGAGAGCAGATCTTTACTGCGTCTGTTTCTCCAGTCCTTGGGGAAAGGCGACTCCTCGAGAACAGTCCAGTTTGGCTCGTTACTATCTGTAGTTGTAGTCTTGCTTCCTTGGACTTCTGCGCCCGAATGAATGGTAGACCACGTTTTGGACGGGTGGAACGGCGACGTTCTTATCAGATCCTCGTACGATATTCCTAGAGAGTCCCGCGGGACCTCTGAGTTCTGGCCCGTTGACACTTGGGAGAAGTCTGACTTGCGGACCGGCCATATCGTCTGCGAGATGCGCGGATCCTCATCCACTCCGACTCTTGGTGAAGCATTCTTGCGGGCATGACCGAAGCGCGGAGATAAAACACCTTCTTTCCTACTCGGTGGCCGTGACAGTTCTTCTTCATCAAGAGCGTCTGCACCGCCAAGATGCGTGTAAGCATGCGGAGGCATTTGCGGAAGAGCTGCCGCCTTGGCTTTGGACTTGTCCTCAAATGTATCAATCGTCGATACGCTTAGATTTTTCTTTCGACTGCCGGTCACACTCTTTAGGAATTTAGCAGGATTTCCCTTAATCCAAGGTTGTGAAGGCCGTTTGTCATATGTCCCGGGTCCGTAGTTCCCCAACCTAGACATTGGTCGTGAAGGTGATAGCAATATCTCGGAGCTTGGCGCGGCTGCCGAGTAGACACGACCGAATTGGTCGCTTGCACCTTGATGTCGGCCTTCGTCACCATGGCTGGAGTATGCGAACTCGGGCGTCGGCTGTATGCTTGACGGACCCGCACTTGACGGGCCGTCTATTGACGGAATATTGACTTCAAGGCCATCTCTAAACGAGTTCTCCCTGTCGTGAGTCAATATAATGGTGGGCGGATGATCTCGCACGATACTATCGTCGTCGTCGTAGTAGCTTGCATCGGTGAGATAACTATCGGATCTCTGGAGTAATGGTTTACCAATGTTACGAAGAGGTGCAAGCCATGAAGTTCTTCGCTCAGGCATCACATTATCGCTAGCAGACCGAAGTGGTCCAGAGTGAAGAGCAGGCGAGACTCTTGGAACAGGTGGGATGTCCTGGGCTGTCTGTGACCTCCTCAAAGTTTGGAATGCAGCCTGTTTGTATCCAGGCTGCCCGGGACCAAGCGCTGCATCAGCCTGTGCAATATCATATTCTTTCGTCAATTCGCTTAGAGAAGAAGTTGCATCGATGGCACCATTGTAAACGAAGCTATCCGGCATAGGTCCAGAGATGTCCCTTCTCCGGAGACTCTGCGATAGGCGCTTCTTGCGTCTTCGGCAGAAGCAGAATAAAATGATTATGAGTGCGAGACAGATGAGAAGTATTGGCAAGAGAACAGCAAGCAGAACGGTGTTCACGTGCTGTTTATGTCCTTTGTTCTCAGTGTTCGTCGCATTTGAAGTTGACGTCGCGGTTGGAGTCGTTGTTGCAGACTGAGTTGATGCAATGGTGGATGATATAGATGATGTGACTGAGCTAGGGAGGATGTTCAGTTCCAGCGACTGCGAATCGATATGATCGAGATACTTCGACTCCGCGTTGAAAGTTATCTTGACTTCAGAGGAGGTTGCGGAACCAGGAGAATCTCCTGAGAGTACTAGACTGTCCGAGTCAAAATTGATCCAGGAGGTTTGTGGTTTGATATCAGCCGTTATGTCCACATCATCAGTGCTGTACAGATAGGGTTTAAGGTCAAATTTAAGACTATCGCCGGCCTTGAGATTCAATTCGGGTAACGTATCCTTGAACGCGCTGTTCACAATAGTGACATTGAACGTGACGTTCAGGCTGTCCGAGAACGTGTCTTCAAATATGATAGAGAAAGCAGTTGACTGTGCTGACTCTGGTGGTGTGCCTGATATCTTCCATGTTGTTTGGTCAAATGCCAACCAGGAAGGAAGATTCTGAGGCGACACGGTTGACACGTCAGTCGATGTTGCCTCATTGCCGTCTAGCTTGATAGCCCCTTGAAGCCCATCGTAACTGAGTGCCTTCCCTATGGTAGCGTTCAGCTCGACAGAGGGGTCATCCACTGTCAGTACGTGGTTTCCCACCACAAGAGAAAAGCCAATCGAAACAGCAGAGAATCCAACAACATCGGAAGCGATGAATTGGAAGGAGAAGGTTTGAGGCGGCTGCACTAGAGAGGCGAAGGATGGCGTCTGACCAGAAAACGCAAGCTTGCTGTCATCAAACGTTATCCAGGAGGGCAAGGGTGTATTGTCGGCAGTAACGGCGTAATAACTCAAGCCAGATCCCGAGGGATCAGTGAACGTATCTGTTGCGAAGCTGAAGGAGAAATCTTTGCTCGGATACGAAAGGATAGAGGATGGTGCCGAGTATGCTCCAAATGTCGAGATTTGATCTGCAATAGGCTTTTGTATTGATGGCCCGGTATTCCGCGAAACGACAAGAGTCGCACTGAGGGTAGTTGACCCGGAATCGTCGCTTGCCACGAGACTGATTGGCACACCGACAACATCGCCTGCTTCGATGTCGCCGTCACTTGGAGTGCCGTATAGACGCCTTGAGTCGCTATCGATCGACAACCATTCAGGAGGGTCGGCGAGTGTATAAGATAAAGATGATCCGGAGGAGGATGTAAATGTTGATTGCGAGAAACTGAAGGAAAAAGCCTGTCCAATCCTGGCGACCGGAGGCACCTGGGAGTTGATAGGATAAGTGATACTTGGTGCGCATAGAGCAGTCTTCAATAGGGTAAGGAGCGCCCATGACAGCTTCGTTGAAGCCATCATGGTGATGACACGGGATGCTTCAGCTCGCGCAAAGAGAGACCGCGAGGCTGAACCAACGCAAACGATGCATACAGAAAGACGGGACAAGCAACCAAGATGCGAAACGTCGATGAAAGATTGACGTTGACGACAGAGGCGAAGAAACTCCCTGACAAACCTTGATCAGCGAAGGCGAGGGCACTCCTCACTCAGCCCTCGCCCCTACGTTCCAACGCCATTGAAGATTGAAGGGCACGATTCACTTGAACCTCTTAGCGGGCCCCATCTGCTGCCTTTCGGTACTGACGGGAGGGTTGAAGAATTCCATCTGGCGGCACATTGACTGAGAATATAGGGAAGCCATTGCAGAGCACGAATATTGGAGGTTGAGGTTGGGCCGACATTCCAGCTCGATGCAGGGAGAGCGCGATAGCAGGGAGGGGCTGGGCCGCCCTTCGAAGTCGCAGCAGGTTGCCCCTCCCCGTCCTCACTCATTGCGCCTTTGGAGGGGAAATTAATTAATTATAGTAGTACAACTATTCATTGAAGATCGTGAGAAAGGGAAGACCATTTCTCCTGGTCGTAGAACAGGAGATGAGCTTTGAGAGAGAGGAAATGGAGGTAGTGGGTAGATAGGTCCTCTTCGGACTTAAGATAGTGAGTTTGGTGACCCTGAAACCTTAGATGCGGTGGTTATCGTGAGTGGATCCGGAAACCGACAGTAGTCTAGAAGGCTCTGGGGAAGGTGCGATCGGAAGGTGCGGTCAATCGGGGCAAAACCCAGCATGCTGGGAAACTTTGTGGGAGACACAAGCAGCCTCCGCTGTCTCATCACGTATGTCAACGACGGAGCGAAACTGTCCTGGATATCAACCTTGGGCAAATATTGCCCGCCCAACTCCGCTCTGCTGAGGAGGGAATGGCGACAATGGCCCGAAGCCCTCTACCAAAGCCTGCCATGTTCACAGAAGAGCGGTCTCCGTCGCCGGAGTTCTCACCGCTCGCGATCGGGGAGGACTTTTCACCACTACCGGCATACAAAGCAGCCGGAGACACAGCACTTGATTTCGGGGGTCTTCTGGCCGAACCTCTCAAAGTCCACGAGGATTTAAAGTCAGGATGTGGAGGTCAGACCTGGCCGGCGGGGATGGTTTTGGCAAGGCATATGCTCCGATATCATCGAGATGAGCTCAAAAATGCAAGAATGTTGGTGCCACATGATGCGCTGGTCTTGCGTCTCGACTTGCCCCCGCTCCTCGGCCCCCTTGTGTGTATACTGATCTCGTATGTTCCAGACTAGAAATTGGAGCGGGTGGTGGGCTTGTTGGACTAGCAGTCGCCCGAGGATGCAGTGTCGAGACGCCTCTCTATGTCACGGACCAACTGGAGATGTATGAGCTCATGAAGCACAACATTGTTCTGAACAACGTCCAGGAGAGAGCCAGAGCACTCGTCCTAAACTGGTTCGTACCACCTCCACCCCGCAGATCCGGGAAACCTGCCGAGGATTTATCACTGGGGCTCGATCTAGAGCCCGTGCTGTCTGCTGTACTAACTCAATCCCCAGGGGCGAAGCCTTACCACGAGAAGTGAACGACTTCAAGCCTGACGTGATTCTGGCAGCGGACTGCGTATACTTCGAGCCGGCATTCCCTCTCTTATTGACAACGCTTTCGGATCTTCTAACTCTCAATCCTAACGCAACAGTCTACTTCTGCTTCAAAAAGAGACGGAGAGCTGATATGCAATTTCTCAAGAAGGCTCAGAGGGCCTTCGATATGACTGACCTCGTAGATGACGATCGGCCGATATTCAGTAGAGAGGGCCTTTTCCTATATTCAATCAGGAGTAAGAGCCAAAATAAATAGACAATTTATTGATGCTGTAAGACCTGACGACGTGTATGAGGTGAAGTTACCAACGCAGGACAAAGCCTGTATCTGTATCCGTCCACAATTGATATGAAGCGGGGTGATCAATCACCTGCCAGGGGATGCACCGGGCGTGATTGGGTTTGATACGGAGCCGACATCCGAGGATTTAGGTCGGGCCCATGCTGCATTGTACAGTGTGTTACACTATTCTACAGGAGTTACGTCCATGTTCACAACGTTATCACTGAAGTTTGTCGACGGCTTTGAGTTTTCCAAAGAAAATGTCACTTAATCGCAACGACATTATCGTCGAGGAACAGGGGCCATCCAAAGTCGATGCACGAAAGAGCGAAGAACGAGTAGAAAGAGAAGGTTACGGAGTACCAGCTCCAAGCTGTACTGCCGAAGGATCGTGAAAAAAACCTGGCGGAACAAAAGGTCGGGTCAGCAGCGGGGTTTCTTCCTTGTCGATAACCAAGACCCCACGTCGTCTGAAATCCCGCTCATTTGCACTGTGAAACACCGAGACCTCGTCAAGTCTTCTTCCTGTGCCTCTCAAGTCTCTCCACACATCCATCAGCAAATGCATACGTAGGTGCATATGTTGAAGCGGCGATTGTGAAATTTTTATGTTTTTCTGGAGACTTGCCAGGCGGTTTTGAGCGCTAAATCGCTCGGGGACAGTGGAGTGAAGAGTGTGCGGTGGAGTTAGCCTTTCCAACCATCAGGTGGCATTGCACAACATGGCTTGACCCACCATCCAATGAACGGCTGGGCGTGTTCTGGACCGGTTGTGCCTGGCTGCGGAGCCTGGAATACCAGGTTCTATTTTTTCTTAGCGTCAGGTACAGCCGTTCAGCGTTGCGGTCCCTTGCAGATGTGAGCAAGGATCCCATCAAGATTCTTTCCGCCCCTGACCGGGCCTTGCGGGCATGTCACTCCAGGGAGGTAATCTGGAAAGTTCCGCCGCCCCGCGAGGACCTGGAAACTGCGCTTACGCAGTGCTGCTGCGTATGTGGTGCCGTAGCCTGCCGTATCTGAGCGTGGCCATGGGCAGTTGGCAACTATGGATCGTAGCAGTTCCACACATCGAGGCCGTGGCGCTGGTGCATCTCCCGTTCTGCCGGCTGTTCGACCCTGTCTTGAGCATGGAAAGCACGACCCGGTTGGTCTTTCCGTCCAATCACGCAATTCTTTCACCAAGTGCTGCCAAACAAGCACCGGCCTAAGCCTCCTTCCCGCCTAGGGCATGTCAATGGGGCCAACTGGGGAGTGACTTGTTCTTACCTGGTCTTTCTTGTCTGTTTCCTTGTCACTCGTGTTCATCCCATCCCCCCTTCCCTGTTGTGTTGTGCCCTCGCCTCGCTCGTTTGCTCTTTCTCCAGCTCACTCACCTCCACACACCCACACACCCACACACCCACTCAACTGAGCCCACCACTCAGCTGGCGTCCTCCTTCCCGAATGCCTTACCTTTAACACCCGGTTTCCTCTTCAACATTCTTTTTATCTCTTGTTCTGCTTTCATTCAACGCAGCCTCTCTGTTCGCTTCACCTACTTCAACCCAACCCAACATTCATTCCTTCTTGAGCAGTGCTCTCTGTACACATTCATTTTACAACAACAGGGACATAACATAGCTTTGGTACCACAAGGGTCGGGCTTCTTTCACTAAGCAACAAGCATACCAGAAGAGACAAAACTCAGGAACGGCAAGCCGTTCGTGCCTTAGCAACGCCTTCTTGACTCTCAGACACCACTCGCAGTCAACCACTGCATTCCAATCTCTATATCAAGACATCCTCCAGTGCTGCCCCCAAGGCTAGGAGCATTTTATCCCTTTCTGTGGCGCTGCATTATCTGGATCACACTAGAAAACATCGCCATGAAGACCACCAACGTTCTCTATGCGCTTCTGGCCGCGCCTGCTATTGCTCAACCCCATGCTGGACACGGTCACGGCCGCTTCCACAAGAAGCGCGATCTGGTTACCGAGTATGAAACCGAATATGTCACTGAGTACGTGACTGAGTACATCGATGAGACAACCACTGTCTTCTTCTACCCAGACGCCACCACTGAGTCTACTGAGGCTTCGTCCTCTTCCACTGGTGTTGCTGGGCAGTTCTTCGAAGGCGACACCACTACCATCGCAGGAGTTCCTGTCGAGACTCCCACGCCAGTTGAGGTGTCCACACCTCCTGCAACAACTCTGATTCCTGTAGTTCCTGAGACTACCACATCCGAGGAACCTGTGTACACCCCACCGCCGGTCGAAGTCTCAACTCCCACCCCGACGCCTACAACTGAGGCTGCCGCTCCAACGACGACGTCGTCAGCTGATACCGGTGGTGGCAACAGCAGCGGACAAACGTACAGTGGTGACATGACTTACTACACCGTTGGCATGGGTGCATGTGGTGAAAATGATACTGGCAAGGATGACTCGGAGAATATCGTAGCTCTGTCTCATGAGCTTATGGGCACGCAATCGAATGGCAACCCGTACTGTGGCCGCACAATCACTATCAGCTACAACGGCAAGACCACTACTGCTATTTGCCGTGATAAGTGTATGGGCTGTGGCATTGACGAGATCGATGTCAGCACCAAGGCGTTCTTAGAAATCTTTGGAGACCTTGGCGTCGGCCGTCACACTGTTGACTGGTGGTTTTCTGACTAGATGGAAATTCCCAACGGTGCCGCAGGGAACAAATTCGCTGCTCGGTGAGCGTCGACGTTGTCTTTTTTCGTTCCCTCGTGGTGTACATAGCTTGCAGGCGCAAGCTGGGCTTTGCCAACAGATAGCATCGCAAGCGATGCTGCTAACGATTTTTCTTGGATATGGGTGGCATTACCGTTGGCATAACCAGAATGGCACGACCCTCGATTGGCCGGGGTCATGGATGCCCCTTTTGGATGGGTATAACGGCGCGGCAACCAAAGGTCAAAAGATTTCACGGACAGGTGTTCGAACATTTGGCTCAAATGTCAGGGGTACATCATCGGAACCACTTTAACGACACCGAAAATTCATGACAAGCAAATCTCGGGTGGTATTTTTGACGAGATCGGCTTATAGACTTTACTTCTCTGTAAATAGCTTAGGGAAATCAAAACTCGAACAGAGTGGCCACTTGGCAATACATAAACATCTATCTCAGCCGGTGACTGCCTTTGTCATGGTCTTTGCCCGTTCTTCGAGACATCGCTTGTCACGCTCGCCCACAGACCGATCTTTGCACATTATTGTCAGTGTAATGTAAATTATGGTCTATTTTTCAGGGTCTAAAGCCTGTCTCAACACTTTGCTTGCTGAGTCCAATCATTCCCTTACTAGTCATCAGTCGGCTGACGTCCCGTCCAGCCAACTTTTCTGTTGTGAATCTGTATAGCACATATAACAACAACCCGCTAACACATGCCATCGCAGTATCTCCTCCGTCCTAACCCCTATTTTACGCCCAAAGCTTTGGCGCAATTCTCGCACATCCGCACGCCGCACTGCACGCAAATCATCATGTCGAAGTGAGGTTGAGGTGTAGGGTTCGTAATGTCGCTAATTGTGTTCCTGAAACGAAGTGGTTCCTTCGGAAGTTTGCTTAATGCTTCTTCCTTCAGTCTCTCCCGTTCAGAATGGGAGCTCTTACACCAGTTGCAGACGGTGGCAGGGTCACGCCAGCCTGGGCCATCGATTGTGGTCTTGGTCCAAGATGTATGCCTGCACTGCCATTCTTGAGGCTCGTCGGGATCCGATCCCAGGTCAAGCTCAGAGCCAATGCCTTCATCGAGGTCGATATCCGAGTCATCTTTCTTGTCGGCCTTGTCCTCGGGCTTCTTGCCCTCCGCAGCAACGCGGACACCGGTAAAAGTTCCTGCAGGAAGAGCTTCATCTCCGTGACCTCCGGGCGGAGACACATGACGATGAGGTTGGCTCTCGAGTTCTATATCCGCCCCTTCTTGGGTGATCTCCTCTTCATCCTCCTCACTCAGTTCGTCCTCGGGGCCGTACCCATCTCCACAGCGTCCCTCGCACTCCTCGATCGCTCGAAGGCAGCCGAAGCAGAAACTATAGCTACAGCGACAGCGCACATGTGGACAGCCATACATAAGTCTGACACCAGCGTTGCACTTGGGACAGCGCTTGACGCCCCACTTCTTAAGCTTGGCCTCCAACTTAGGGTCGAAATCGACTCGCTGGCTAGTGCATTCTTTGCCGTTCATGGGGTGGATCGGTCCACGACATGTAGTGCAGATGTTTGCTCGGCATTTGGGACACGAGACACTCTTCTTCTTCACAGTCGCTGAGGTCACTGGCTCGAACTTGTCGCCCGAATGCACGAGGTACAGTTTGCTAGGTATGAAGGCCGAACATTGGGGTATTGGACAATACAACTTGTCGAAGGTTGACCACTCATCATACTTGGCCTCGTAGAGCCTGATCTATCAGCTTTTTAGCGGCTTGCAGTTCCAGGGGTCTCCCCACACATGTGCAGGACCCCGGCTGGTGATAAACAGGGATGAACAAACCTCTTCACTTGTCAGGAATCCCTTAGCTTTCTTGACGGGAATCTCATCCCCACAGCACTCGACCGGCATTCGCGTCTCGTCGACGGTGGCTTTGAGGAACCAGTCTCGCAAACAGTCTTGGCAAAATATGCCAAAGCGGCAGTGCGTGCAGGACACCGCGACATCCTGAGGTTTGAGCAGCTCGCGACAAATACAGCACATGGTTGGCGGCGGCGGCGCTGCTGCTGATGATGTCTTCTGACGTTTAGTCGGGCGATGCACCGAGGCGGCGCCCTCGCCCTGCTCAAGGTCGTGGGTCATATCTCGGCGAGTGCGACTCCGGAAAATGCTGAGAAGGCTTCGCAATACTGGCAAACAAGCTGCGGGCATGTCACCCAGCAGCGAAAGGTAGCTTCGGCTGAGGGCGCAGAAGTGGCGCTTCGGCGGGGACTCGCCTTCGCACGTTTGGGGTGACAGAGAGAAAATAGAGATCGTGGGGATCTAGAAATCCTGAGCGAACTGTGCTTTTGTACAGATTTCCTCGGTAGCTGCCTGACAAAATACTGCAAAGGAACTGGGGGACTCGAAGCGTCCAGATGGGGATAGATCGTGGAGGAGGGATGTGTAAGAGAAAATCCGTCTGTCACGACAAACGGAAGGTGAGGTAGATTGGCCAGCAATAAGGCAGGTAGTCAGGCAGGCGGGTAGGTACCATGGATTAGGATGTAGGTTGGCGAGTTAGGTTGACAAGCAAGAAAGGCAGGCAGGAAGCTGTTTAGGTATTTGTGGTGAGAGTGGCAGCTGCGATCTGCGAAAGTTGAGGCAGGCGTGATTGATGTGAGGTATGGTATGGGTATGGTAAGGTTACCGCCTGCAAGAGACTGCCTTAGGTAATGAATCTGGGACAGCTTGGGCTGTGTTGGCAGCCTGATGAAGAAACGGATCAACTCATGCACGCAACCAGCCTTACAGGCATTTGATTGTGAGTGCCGAGCTGAGGATAATATGGTAGGTAGGTAGGTAGGTAGGTAGGTAGGTAGAAGTGGCAGTCCTACAAGCCAGGCGCAAACTACTCATGAGGTCAGGCAGGTATAAAACGGGCGAAGGGCACGGGAAGCAGTTGGTAAGGTAGGTAGGTCATGGAGTCACATGAGAAATTAATGAGTGCAGAAACACACATCGGACGAGATCTCAGTCAATGCTGTCACCGTTGCCCAGAACGAATCATCTCTATGCTACCTACCCGACTGCCTGACGTACTAGGCCTTGGGATTTGACCTCGCGTTTTCTCTGGCATACAGTTGCTTTGTGGGGGCCGACGAGGCTGAGGATGGAGCTTTGTCTGGTCAGCAAAGCATGCGCCTAGGAAAGTAAAGTAACCTCCTGGGTCTCATGCCTTCCTATATCTGTGAAGTGATAAGTGCATGTCCAAGAAGCTCCAGCTGGCAGGTGAGCAGATAGGTTTGGGTCGGAAACGGACCCCTCAGTCTTGGCACCGGTGTGAGCGACTTGACAGCTTACCGCATGTCAAGAGAATGGCGCACAGCAAGACTAGTGACGGTAATCAACTCTCCCCTCTTTCTTTTTTTCGAGTTTCAGGCCTAGGAATTGGACTGAATTCTTTGTTTGCGGCTAAGTATGCAGTGCCGTGCTGTTTAAGTTCCTATTTTCGGAGAACAACGACATAACTTCATAGTTTAAGCGTATATCAAAGCGTACCACGTATACCTTTACTTGTAATCCTAGCGGTGTGCCCCCTTTTCCTGCTTTTACTGATGTGTCTCCGGCTTAACGATTGAGAGTCAGGAGACCCTCGATGTATTTCCTTGTATCTACGCCAATGCCTTGCGCCAATCGACTGGCACCGTCCGCCCAACCACCACCCATACTCACGGCTCTAACGTGAGAGCCACCATGATCACTTGCTTTGCGGATGAGGAATATTTCCTTGCTGACGGTATGGTCGTGATGTGTTGGCTTGATGGTGTCCTCTTCATTCGAGCCACCCTCCTCACTCTCTAAGCTCGGACTGTTTCTCCCACCCAGCTCATCAGGTGAGCTGTCCTGCTCCTTTTCTAGAATCCGGTTCCAAACGACCCACCAGCCTCGGCTAGTCTTGCACGTTCTCTCGAGCTCTGAGGCATCTGACTTCGCTGCAATATAAACATTAAGAATCTGCATGTGCGTGTTGAGGGCCTCCACTCGTGACCATGCAGTCGGCTCGTGGGCCTGGATCATTCCTGGTTCAGGAATGTTGGGGATGGTTGAATGCAGCGTCAGACTCTTGGCATCCCATATAAGATCATAAATCTGTGCTGCCGTGGCGCCTTGGTCGGGTCTCCCGGGTCGATATGTAGTGGAATTACCCAGGGGTTTGCGTAAGGGTGATAACTGGTGATGCAAGGATCGATACAGTCCATCCCAAGCAAGCGAGTCGGTCCGTAATTTAAATAAGAACGTGAAAATGAATGGCTTGTTGACATAGACTACGACTCGGAGTTTGTGCGTCTTGTTGCTGTCCTGGCTTTGAAAGGTCGCTGTGATCGACTCGGGGATATCTCCACGATCTCCAGCTCCCTGTTCTGCAACTTCGGTTTCCCTGCTGCCGAACGCCAATACCTTCTGTGAATCTGAACGATCCAGTCCTACACCTTCGAGCTCCACTGTCACTGTTCGGAGCATAGTCCGGGAGTTATATTCAGCCTCGTCGAGGCTATCGTGAAATCGACTGTCTTCAATATCCTCGTACGCGTCTTCTTCAACCTCGCCCGTCAGACCAATGAGAAAATGTCCTGCTGCACTGTCTGGCTTTGATTCATGCCCACCGGATGAGGCCTCGACCTCGTTGGCATCTTTCTTTGCCAACGCGGCGGCTGGGGGTTTCAATTTCGTTCCATCATTGCCACCACCGGATCCTAGGCTCCAGTACTTTCCATATCCCAGCTTAAGGTATTCCACGTACTTGTCTATTCCTCCGGCGTCAGCATCTTCTACTCCTGAAGCCGAAGAGACATCGCTGCTGACAGCGGGGTCTTCCGAGCCCCCTTGTTCTTTTGGTCCTTGATTCGAAGATGTAGATTGTGCAGTCTCATCAGCGCTTCCGGCTTGTTGCGTAGTGGGTTTCCGCTGCGAAGTGGCCTTAGTCTTCTTAGGTTTCCGTGTCTGTCGCGTCGATGTCGGACTATCGATAACACCGTAAGCATTCTCGCCCCATGTATACAAGTCATCCATCCAGTGAACGACATCGCGCAAGGAGTGCTTTGATAGAGCTCCGACACCGAGAAAGATGGATCCATCCTCAGCGCCTGGTTCATTGCCAGTCCCTAGCCACTGCTCAGCTTCAACGCCTGTCGCAGCATCTGGGTCATATGAGCCATATTTGGAAACAACGAGGTCGACAAGGCCCTCAATTCTGCCGACGAGGCCTTCAAGGACCTCTCTCTCACCGCTACCACGCTCTTCCTCTCCTACTCCGACCCCAAGCTCACCGCTTGCCGCGATCTTGATACCATCGAACATGTTGCAGATGGGATTTCCGTGAAGAAGAACATTCCAGGTGGACAGAAACAAGTCCCAATAGCGTCCAAGCAAATTGGTGAATTTGGACCTATTGGTGCGAACGAAGAGAGCACTAAGCGATGAATCATGATGAAGCAGAAATGTGGCATGGGCGCGGAGTAGGTCCTGTAGTAAAAGTGCGGCGGGTTTCACTTCTCGTGATGAATACTCCACATTACTCTCGGACGACGTCTCAGGCGTCTTAGACTTTGCCGAGGACGAAGCCGATCCAGAGGTAGCACTTGATGGCGGCAGTGGCAGTCTTGTGAGATCAATGGACTAAATGGTTGTTAGCATTAGTGTTCATTTTGAAGAGATCATGAACAAACGGCTAGAATCCACCATCCCGGTTCGAGCTCATGCAGGACGACCCGAGACTTTTCTGCATCAATAGTGTCGACTGGCTGGCCGTCAGAGAAGCTTCTGCTAAAATCGACCATGCCCTGGGCAAGGCCGATCTGGTTCAGGCGCTCGTTTCTCTCTTCCTTGGACAGGATCTCGGTGGGCCGGGCTCGCGACCGATGCCGTTTCCGATGGTTTTGGGTATTCACCGATGCATAATAAACAATCTGGTCATCGAGGCTGTCTTCGGTCGTGCCTAGACTTGGGTTGTAGATGGCAAGAAATCCGAGCTGCGCGGGAACAATTCCCGGCGCTGGTGATGTTGCCATCTGTTGTTCCGCGGCACGACCAGCCGGAGCGGACACGATGATAGAGTGTGGTATTTAGAGATCGAGTTGTGACCGACTACTCGAGCAGTGGTCGATCTGAGTATGACAGGCTGAGCTACCAACCAATGAGAGCGCTCAGCCCTTGGAGCGTTTCAGGCCCTTCTCTAATTCGAGATATCGAAGCAATGGGATAGTCAATAGGTAAGCAAGAAGCTGGAGGTTCAAGGTTGTGTTGCTGTCTTGGATAGCGAATTGTGATTTAGCTAATAGCTAAGACATGGCGTCACACGTTGGGCCATTTGGTTTAGCTCGACGTTGCTCGGCACATCCCAGACTTCTGGGTCGATCCTGCCGTTCGATGGTCAACTAAATCGGGATCACTAGAAACCTACCATGTTCGTCACCATCGGCCAAGATTTTAGCGCTGTCCATACCCAGACCTGTCCAGCCTTGGAGGAACTGCAACACTCTTCGGAAGCCGCCACGCTCACAATTTCCTATGGCAGTAGATTCTAATGAACTGGCAGGCTTCAAAGATCTCAGAGCGATATAATCCAGACTTATCAACCTTCGTTCGAATTACTACGCGCCTCTCCCCTCGAGAGTAAATAATATATTTTACCTACCTGGGCAACTCTCTTCATAGTAAGAGTATAGGCATAATGACTTCCAAAAGGCGAGTCTGGGTAATTCAGGACGATATACGGGACTAAGAGACTCTTAAATAAATGATCATGTCTTCAGACCCCGCCATCCTAAGCTTCCTGATCTAGAGATACAATGTCCGAAATATGAGTGGATTTACCCATTTCCCTCTATTTCGATCCAAAGAAGCGGCTATTCCATTACCCTAGAGATTTCCCAGTAGTGAAGCGGGAAAGCTAAGTGACGTCGCCGAGCCGAACTACCGGCATAGCTTCGACGCGGGGTCACTCCGCGGCAGATGACCGATGGCCGGCCCCCCGATATTGCGGGCATTTTCGTGCCGGTCACTGTTCGGCGCAGACCCGAGAGTTCGTTATTCAAAAGCTAGGGTACGGTCTGTCAAGTGCCTTCTTAGATGTTGACTTGCTAGTACATACCATTTTTGCTTTTGGGGCCTGAAACAATTACCTTTTCCCTTACACGAGTTTGACCTTCTTAGCAGCATATCACAATGCGTGTCCCCTACGTCTCCAACCCACCAGACACCGCCGACGAGACCGAAGCGGCCATCGTGCAGCGGATTCAAGCGCGGCGTGCTCCCCGGCCTCTGCAGCCCCTGGACCTGGCGCTTCTGCACAGCCCGCCCGTGGCCGACGGGTGGAACTCGTTCCTCGGCGCGGTGCGCACCAAGACTACTATTCCCGACGACATTCGGGAGCTGGCAATCAGCCGCGTGGCGGTTGTCAACCGGGCGTGGTACGAGTGGATGCACCATGCGCCTCTCGCCGTGAAGGGCGGCGTCAGTGAGGATGGGCTTGAGGCTGTGAAGAGCGCGGAACCTCTCAACATTTCGTCACGGCCGGAGGTGCTGAACGAGCGCCAGTGGGCGGCGCTGGTGTATGCCGATGAGATGACGCGGAATGTCGAGGTCCGGCAGGAGACGTTTGATGCACTGAAGGGGCTGTTCAACGATAAAGAGGTTGTGGAGATTACTGCCACGGTACGTTGCCTTCGGGCGTGAAGTTGCCACCGTATGTGGGTTGAACTGATGATATAGGTCGCATGTTACAACTGTGTGAGCCGTTTCCTGGTTGCTTTGGATGGTATGTAATGAAAGTCTTGGGTTCGCAGAGCTTGCTAACCAAAAGGTAGTGGGCGAGAAGAATGGCTTGGGCCCAGATGCTAAGCACTGAGTGCAACGTAGCTTGGGAAGGTGAAGAGGTGAAGAATGGTAGAATGCTTGAAGAGCTGAACCTGTGTACGACTGCCAGGGACCAGGACGAAAACCAGGTCATTTTTGTTTTCCGTCGCCAAAACATCACATTCAAGACTGATGCTGCATAGCCATACAAAGCGTCAGTGAATTCAAGTTTATCTAACAGAGTATGCTATTTACGCTGTGAGGATAAGTGACAAGGGGAAATGGAAGGGACTCGAATACAAAAACAGCGGCTCATACAAGGCCAAGTATTAAGAGGTAAAATGGAGAGTGTTGTATTGTGAAATTAGATGGAAAGGGGGTATCTATGTGAAGTGAGCAAGAACTCCGCCAATATGTGATGTGAACTGTTTGGATGGTTGTTGAAAATCATATCCGCCCTACTCAACAGGCTGGGAAACAAACGCGTCGCCAATCATAAGCCATCATACATTACTCCCATCTCGTAACACCGATGATGCCGTGCTCTCATGAATCGTAAGCGTAAATGCTCAAGCCACGTAACTCGCTGTAATTGTGCACATATGCAAACATGGGGTGGTGAACCAGACAACGCCGTTACAGCTGACACCCGTCAGGACAGTTCATCATGGTGTCTCGGCCATCTGAGCCATCGATTGTTCAATAGAAGCATGTCGTTTGTGCCTATGGAACTTGGTGTTAGCATTCGTAGGAAAGAGATGCGGGATGCCGCGGGCCACGACTTAGAGACAATGTTGTTCTGGGGTTGGATGAACTTACATTAATGGTGACAATTGCAACTCTCGAACAACACCAGCCCACCCTTGCCGGTGATTCCCACCGACGCTGTCGTGGTGACCGATGGCTTGCGTCGTCAATCGTCTAAGCGGGGGCTTCCTCTTGATACCCTCCGCAAGACCTTGCGGCATCATCTTCGCCGACTCATGACCAAATCGCATCTTCTCGGGATCTCTCGTTGGTGTGCTCTTCTTCTCCTTCTCCGCCTTCTCAGCTTTCTCCGTCACACCAGCGGCGACGATGCCCAGGTATACGACGAGGAAGCGGGTCCGTAGCAGATCCAGTCTGCGCATCTTCTCCTCGAGATCCCTCCTCTTAGCCGCCCAGAGTAGGCGAGCGAGAGTCTTCAGTCGCTGATCGTCCTCGCCCAGCAGCAGACCGTTGAGATCCTCGCGCAGGTCGTCACCGCCCTTCTGGATCTCACGGAGCAGGCGGCCGAGGCGGATCTTGTCCTCGAGGCGGGGGACTCGGGCGACATCGCGGTCGTAACTCTCATTCTCCTCAACGGAGGAGTCGGCGGCATCGACGAAGCTGGCGATCTCGCGCGGCGCGGCAAAGTATGCGGTCGCGTAGCTGGTGGCGACCTGCGCGAGCACGAGTAGCGATAGTAAAAGAGCGGTCAGCACGAGCAGCAGGGTCCACTGGCTCGTCGAGCTGGCCGCCATGGTAAGCGCATCTGTGTGTGGGATCTTCTTGTCTCTTCGAATCTTGAAATATAGGGCGGCTCCCGAATATGCAGTTCACTAGTTGCAGAGAGGGACAGTGTCCATGGCAGATCTATGGGGATACAATGGCAGTTTAGTATGCACCGAGCAGAAGGCGAGAGTGATGACGACAAGCTAGAGACGCATCAATTAGCGAGGCGGGTGTGTGCTACTCGGCCTCCCGGTATTCCTTTCGCACCGTAAAGGGAGCTGCGCATGGCAAAGGTCGCTCACCGCTCCGCCAATCGAGGCGTCTCGATCCCCTGCACCTGCAGCTAAGGAACCGTCACATGTCTTGGGCCTGTAAATGGGGCCATGTCAGAGGTGGCCAGCGAAGCACTTGCTTCGTACTGTATATCATTGCGACTTGCAATCATGTCCAGACCGAATGCTGAAGACAACAAAAGCATTGCGTGAAGAGCATCACACTGTGTGTATGTCGACGATGGAGTTGTGACGTTGGAAGAAACGGGATGAGGAGGCGGCCTGTCTGAGCTTTGGGACGGGATGGGCTGCCCCTTTAAACCCTAGCACCCTGGTGCTTCAGTGTCCCTTACAGCGGTCCCGCGTGCTGCCTTCAGCTGTTTGGCCGCACGTATCAGCCCCCATCAAATCACCGCAGGCGAAACTTTTCATTCAATGCGAAGCATCCTCCAAACGAGCAAATCACCACGTCAATCCACGTCACTGGTCAGCTTAATACCCAATCGCCCAGCCGTCTTTTCACCAGCTGCGCTTGCTTCAGGTACCGAGATCTCAACTGCATCCGTCTCGTCGCTTCGGTCGCCAGCTGGCTTGGGCAGTCCGCATAAATCCCATCAACGAGAAAGCCCCGCCTAGAATCTCGACCCCTCCAACGCACACACAAACCAACACACCCTTGTCACGATGGCGGGGTTCGACTTCCCCCTCCCCAAGGTCCTCACGTACCCCTCGTCGACGGCGCCCGAGCTCATCACCCAGGGCGCCGAGGGCCGCCTCTACAAGACGACGTACCTGCTACCCTCGATCCCCTGCGCCCTCAAGCACCGGCCCTCCAAGCCCTACCGGCACCCCGTGCTCGATGCTCGCCTGACCCGCCAGCGCATCCTGGCCGAGGCCCGCATCCTCGCCCGGTGCCGGCGCGAGGGCGTCGCCGTCCCGGCCGTCTTCGCCGTCGACGAGGCCAGCGGCTGGCTGATGATGGAGTGGATCGCCGGCGGGCCGGTGCGCGCCAGCATCAACGAGTGGCTGCGCGGCAGGACGGAGGCCGACGTCCGCAGCGACGCAGAGGACAAGGGCGCGGGCAGCGAGCTCGTGGACCTGATGAGGCGGATGGGCGCCGCGGTGGGCAAGCTGCACCGGACGGGCATAGTCCACGGTGACTTGACGACGAGCAACATGATGCTCCGACCGTGGTCGAGAGACGTGGCCAACGGCCACAGGGACACAGAGAGCATACTGGCCGGCGAGATCGTCATAATAGACTTTGGTCTGGCGACTACAAGTACGTCGGACGAGGACAGAGCAGTGGATCTGTATGTTCTCGAGCGAGCATTCGGGAGCACACACCCAAGGGGCGAGAGCCAGTTCCCGGTGTTGCTCCAGGGCTATAAGGAGGCGTTTAAACAGGCCACTCCCGTCCTCAAAAAGCTAGAGGATGTGCGGATGAGAGGTAGGAAGCGGAGTATGCTCGGTTGAGACCCTGAGGAGCATACTGCGTTGTCTATCATCACGGAGTAACGTGTCACCAGAGTTGGTCTTCAAGTCGAGATCAGTGACGTCTATAGCATTGACTGGCCTCTGTAGATGGTTCTGCTAGTTGACTTCTGGCCCATAATACTGTTTTCTAGGAGCGCTGTATTCAGAACTAGCACGAGCACTTCATGAACCTTTGAAGAGACAACTTGGAAGATTAATCCCGGTTAAATTCTTAAATCATACCCATCCCACATGAAAGAAGACGATGCCACATCCTGTCTATCAACACTATACGTGTGCTTTGAAATGCTCTGTACCCAAATACGCCGGAGTCATGCAAGGTCGTGGTATAAACAGGGGGTGAAGGTTGAGGCGCGATATAGCCGAGGTACTACTCTTCATGAAGCTCAGCTCCAGCGAAGTACCCCTTGTTTTCGATGACGCCCCGGTCGCGGACGACTGCCGTGTATTTCACGACCCATTGCGGCGTCAGGTCTCCGTGCAGGCAGTCAACCCCGTTGTGGGCGCCATTTGGATCCTCCGGGTCGCAAAGTACGCCGGCGCCCTGAAACCCAGAACCGAGAAGTTCCCGCAGCGTACCTTTCGGCAGAATGTTCGTGCAGTCGCTATGGACAAGCAGCTCGATGCCCTGCTCCTTGGCCAGCTTAGCCAGAGGCGGGGGGACACTGCAGCAGTTCTTGATGTTGATCTGATCCACGGCAGGCCGTACGCAAGTCCTCTGCAAGAGGCGCGAAAGTTTCTCAGTGCCGAACTCGGCGACGCCAAGATTCTTCACGAGACCCTGCTTGTGGAAGGGCTCGAGAATGGCCCAGGTCGCAAACTCCTCCTCGTCGTCTCCTTGCGCGGCATTGATCTTGTCGGCTTCCCACTCACAGTCGCCCTCAAAAGACATGCCCGGGAAGGAGACAATGAGGAGGTCGACCTGGCCGATGCGAAGCTCCTTCATGACCAGATCCAGCGCCTCACTCGTGTACCGCGCGCGCTCTTTGATGGACGCCGTGGGCAGGAAGAAGAGCTTGACAGTAACTTCGTATTGGCTGGGCTCTTCCTGCAGCCCTGCGGCATCCCAGTCAATGCGCGGGATATACACGGTATTGCCTTCTCTTGCGGTCCAGGCGGACACTGGCGTCCTGCCATTCTTAGCGCTGTTCACGAAATCGTCGCTGTGTCCATTCCCATTTTCGATCCCGTGCCCATTACTATCGCCATTTGCGCCGCCATTGGTGAACGGCTGGTCGGCGTAGTCCTCCTGGGCGGCGAGGAAGTTACTGCGAAGGGAGTTGGTGAGCTCGAGGTTCGACCGATAAGCACCTGGCTTGCGGATTATGGAGGGGCCGCCCGAAACGATGTTCCTACAGCGCGCAATCACGCAATTAGCGATCGTTCTGAGGAGCTCAGGCCCGAATGCGCAGGGAGTTGTAGCGCGGGATGTTTTTGCTGCACGTACCCGGTGGACAGGATTAACTTGGCCATTGGATTGGCGCAGTAAGCAGCAATCTGACCGGCTGGCTGGCTGGCTGCGTGAGGGTATGTTGAGGACTCGGCCGTCTGCCCTCCGTTTTTTCTTGAAGGTCGCTAGACAATCTTCACGCACAGAGAAAGAATTCTCTATCTTGGAGAGAGTTCCAGGCCCAGAGTCCGTTATCCGGCTTGTGTGGGGTCGAGTTCGGGAATTATTAATGAATCATGACACAAATCTCGCGCCGAGACGTAAGTTTTGCTCAACCACGTTACAGGCGCAATAGTGGTCTGTCTCCGATAGCAGCTATTAGGCAGAGACAAGGGCAAGAGGCATGAAAGGCAGCGAGGTGAAGGGGAGAGAGATATCTCGATAGGATTATAACTCCGGGCGACAGACCTTCCCAAGGTTGCAGGGTGGTCGTACCGACCGTCGGGGGGGCCACTAGAATCAGAGATAGATGGACTTACATTTAGTCACTTGTTGCAGAGCCTTTCGGCGTCTCTACCAGACTACTCTACACCAGCACTCGCTGCAGAGACCCCGTTCGGGCGCCGCATCCTGAGGTGTGGGAGATGCCGCACCTGGAAGCCAGTGAGATAACAGCTCTGGGGCAGTGGCTCAGTCCACGCCGCGGCCTCTAATGCAGACGGTTGTCTCTGCCCCCACTCTGCCACTGTACCTCGCCAACTCGCGGGCTCGCTCGGCATGCCTCAAGGGCGCAAATGGGGGGTTACGACCCCGCCATGGCCGCCTAAGGCGCGGGCAGCGAGGAGGCAGAATTGATTTTCTTTGACGGGAGCGGCCGACCGTGCCTGCGCAGTTGTTCGTCTATTGTGGCATTAGATAAAACAAACAGACAAGCATGACAAAGATGTGTCCCTCGGGGACAGCACTGGAGGTAGTTTTAGTATTTGTGTAGAGCAATTTGTTCATAGCTTATTACCTACATAGGGGGGTTATGGGGTCTAATTATTAGGTAAGGTATCTGGATTGTAGGAGATCGGGATCGTGCGTCTCATTCTGGCCGATTCGGTTTGGCAGGCCCGCAATGCTACTTGCGAAGCGGACACAAGTCAGCAGCGGCGGTCGTGGCCAACCCTCCTGCGAAATTTCCCACTCCACGTATTACCACATACAACACGATAGCTCCCTTTCTCCCTCCAGCCACCTCTCTCTCCATCATCAAAAACACCAGCTGGCGGTACGCCCCTGTATCGTCATGGCCATCAAGTATGCAATCTTCCATCGATTCTGTGTTGCATGCGTTGGCTAAACAGCAGTGATGTAGCTACCTCATTCTCCTTTCCAGACAGGGCAAGGTGGTAAGTCTTTGACTATGACCGACTCTCGGCAACCCGAACTCGCAACTAATTGTCCATGCAGCGCCTGGCGAAGTGGTTCACCACACTGTCTCCCAAGGAGAAGGCCAAGATCGTCAAGGATGTCTCACAGCTTGTCCTTGCCAGACGAACCCGAATGTGCAACTTCCTCGAATATAAGGGTCGGTACCCCGATGATGCATCTTTTCTCCTGGCAATGTTTCTGTGCTAACACGAGACCAGACACGAAAATTGTCTACCGCCGATATGCGTCGCTGTTCTTCATCGCCGGATGCTCATCGGATGACAACGAGCTGATCACCCTCGAGATCATCCATCGCTATGTCGAGCAGATGGACAAATACTACGGCAATGTCTGTGAACTAGACATCATCTTCTCCTTCACCAAGGCGTATTACATCCTCGATGAGATACTCCTAGCTGGAGAGCTCCAAGAGAGCAGCAAGAAGAACGTCCTCCGATGTATATCTCAACAGGACTCCCTGGAGGATATGGAGGTTAGTATGCCGATATCGACGGCTTATCTCCCTCTCGAGCACATACACACGCGCGCGTTGTCCAAGTCTTCGACCTCCCTAAGCGTCTTGTCTTTCTCCCACACCTGTCATGCTGTCCTGTCCTCAAGTCTCCCCTCTTACTAACACCTCTCTCCTCTTCCCCAGGTCGAAGACGAAGTCACGAAAATCATGTAGA